AGTTCATAAGAACAAATACAGGATGTGTATTTTGTAAATTGTGTAACTTTATTTTATTATAACTTTAATACTTTTTTAAGCTTGCTTCTTCGTAACATTGAGCCGTCTTGCGCTTTTTCTGCTGTAACAACGTACATTTCCCTTCTGTGGGACTAATAAAGGTATTCTGATTACCTCTTTCAAAGATCCCATATCCATTTTTTCAATAGCTGTGTAAACAAAAGAAGTTTAATTTAGTTAACATCTGTCTCCATCATAACTTTAACCCTTCTGCACTTGATGTTTTGATACCCGTCTTGATCTTTGCCAATGCAAGGTTTGAAATGTGGAAGAACCCATCCTCTATAAGAAGGAACACATGGCATATCCCTGTGAAGACAAAACACATAAAAAACATGAAGTTAGGAATTCTTTCAGATTTCCATTGCATATCAAACCCTCATTTATCATATTCAAATAGGAAACTTGCCCAAGGATGCTTTGTCCTCCTCTATGGTGAGATAGCGGAATGTTTTCTTATCTTCATTGGATGGTTTCTCTACCAGCGCCTACAAAATACCCAACATGTTAATGTACATTCGTGAAATACACACTGTGCAGCAGCTCATTTAAGAAAAAGACACAAAGGTATGTGGATTATTTTGGCGGGGCCTTCATCTATAGTTGTGTACTTTTCTTTGCTGTAGGTGAAATCAGACAGGTGACAGTTTGAGGCTAGACACAGAGGGATCATATCTCATGTAATCCTACTAGGGATGCACCATTATGCACTAAGTTTTGATTTATGTGCTCTACTTGAAGATCATTTGAATAAACAAAACTGTTCGTAGTTTTTGTAGTAAACAATTGAGTTTAGATCATGTTATGTCAGTGTTGTTGAATTAAAAATAAACAATATTTACTAACAAATCTTACCTGCAGGTGGGCATAAACTACAGGTCATCTTTACAAAATTAAAATTAGATTATCTTCTTCTTCTTCTTCCCACCCCTTTTCGGATGTGTGATCAAGTAGATTATTTGTTTATACATAATTTAGAATCAGTTATATTTTTGTATATCAATTTGACTTTGATTAATTTTGTATTGTATAATAATTCTCATGTAAACATATTGTTTTACACATTCAAAATAAATCTAATCTAATCAAAGAATTATTGGTATCTGCCACGAGAAGTAGGTTATTTACGGTTCTCAGTATCCACTAGGGATGTAACGATACCAAAAATTCACGGTACGATAATATCGCGATAACAAGTCCACGGTACGGTATTTAAGAAAAAAATAATTAGTTTTAATTTTTTTTTTTACTTGAAAAAATGTTCTTTATTAAATAATAAATCTGATTTGTAGAGCATTTTAGTAGGATAGTAGTATTTTAAAGTGACAGTAACAGACAGTTTTTTTACCTACTAGTACTACCAAACATAGCATTTTCTTTGTGCCACTGCATCTCACAAATAAACAAGGACATTTAATAATCAGACCCTGCAATAAAATAAATCAAGTTTCACTTTAGTTTTTCAAGTAACTCAACTCAAACTCACTCAGCATCATCAGACAGGTTTTTTTAGGAATATGAACATGTCCATATTTCCAGGTAGAAGCTGGGATGTTTGGGCGTTTACAATATCCCCTGCTGTGGAAAAAACTCTCTCGCTTGGTACTGATGTTGCTGGGACAGCAGTGGTCTCGTTAACCGAATATTTGTTTTAACAATGACGGAAACATCTGAAAGCAGTCTGTCATTTTGACAGATTAGAACAAACTCGGAACAGCGCCAAAGTTTCCCCGCAGCGAGGCTCTGGTGTTTGCCGTGTTATGCATGCCCTCCAAAAGGAAATGATATAGTTTCCAAACCGTACAGATCATTGAAATGTCTGGGAGTTTTTGCTTTACGCTGTGCGCGCTCCCGCGAGGTGCATGCATATCTCGGTGGGCATGCATAACACGGCATAAATTATATCATGCTTCCATAAATCCTAGACTAGTAGGCTCTATAGAAATCATGCAGGAACAAACCCGGGTGAGAAGGATTCTCTTGTGTGGAACATAGATCAAATGAAGGTTTCCATTTCTCTCACAGACAACCAAAAACTGTCCTTCCAGGCAGACATCAACGGCATCCACACCGGTTTCTGAAAAAATAAGTTGCAGTATTAACAGTTGTTACTCAGGAAGTCAAACTGCATTGATACAAAAGGGCATGATGAAGTCTGGCATGTGACTGAACCTTTCCAGTATTTTCTAAATGATAGTTTGGATGATAATGTAGGCATTAAAAAGGACATTACAGGAAGTAAAGAGTGTGAAGACAGAACTCAATTGGTATCTTGAGAAGAATGCGTTCATTGATCAGTCATTGCTCTGCTGAATTTAACCTTATTTCATGGGTTGTAATACTGCATTGTTTAACTTATCTCAAAAACATTGTCCTAATCTAAAAGACATTTATGAGTGACTGGCTTTGCTTTAAGAAAACTAATTTGTCCTTCTTCAGAAAATATAACTTCTATCAATGTTTAAGGTGGCAATATACCTGTGATGCCCCTGTGGGTTCATCAGTAGAGAGGGTGTGGCTGTTCTGTCTGTGCTGCATTGGCTCCAGTGATTGCATTGATTGCAGTAACTCAGGGCACCTGGGTCTGGTGTCCTGCAGCTATTTAAAGCCTTTCTGTGCTCGCTCTGAGCTGTTTTATCAATTTTTATGCTTTTATTGTCTGTCCATAGCCTTTATGTACCGTCTATTAATTCTTATGTATGCCTTTTATCCTTTTATCCTTTCTTATGTGTGCCTTTTATCTATTAATGTAATATTATATTTTATTATAATGTTATGTTTGGTGTGAAGCACTTCGGTAAACCCTCTGTTTTTATTATGTGCTATACAAATAAAGTGGATTGGATTGGGATGAAACCAGTGCTCCCCTGATGCGAAGATCAACGCACTACCCCACTGAGCCACCACCATCCCCAATTTCATACGATTGAAATACTTGAATAAAGATGATGGTAGAAACATACCAAAATCCAGAAGCAGCAGGATGGTTTGATAGATCTGGTCAAACAGGATAACCGTCTTGTCCGCCACAACAATGCTCCAGTTGGACCCACTGGAGGAGCAGAGACGGGGATCTCTCTGCACCTGCAACACCCAGCATTACCATCAAATCACTCTAAAGTCTGCTGCCGTCTGGCAGGCGGTACCGCAGCATGAGGTGCCGTCTGGCAGGCGGTACCGCAGCATGAGGTCTAAAACCACCACTCAGAGACAGTTTCATCCCACAGGCCATAAGAATGTTAAACACCTGCACTTTTGAAAGAACATACATAACATTAATCTGTTTGCAAATCACATATCAATATTCCAATTACTGTATATAGACTATTCTGCACAGTTTCTATCATATTCTGTTTCTATTATATTTTATTTTATTTACTTGTACTATTTTATCTGTTTTATTGTGTTGCACTGTTGGAGGAGCCTGTGCCCTAAGATTTTCATTGACATATCTACAATGTAGCCATGTACGCATGACAATAAAAGCCTTGAAACTTGAAACTAATAAGCACTTTTACTTTTGGTACTTTGAGGATATTGTGCGAATACTTTGTTATTTTACTTGAGTAACATTTTGAATGCAGGACTTTTAATTGTAAGAGAGTATTCCTACACTTTGTGACTTTTACTTCAGTACAAGATCTGAGTACTTCTCCCAGTACTTAGTTACCCTGGGTGTGTGTGCGTCGTAAAAATCGGAGTAGCAAGGGTACAAGAGCATATTCGAGATTTAAAAATGATAATATATTAATTACCTCATTGGCAGTGGAGATTTTGACCAATGTGTCCACCTGATACAAGCCGCTACCATTCTCCTCCCTGGACACACCGCCGAGGCGGACCGTGTTTGTGTCCTCGTTGGTCAGAAGCTCAACGTCGCTCCACGTCGCCATGTCATGGAGCTAAGTTAACTACATGGGAAAGATATGACATGATTTTCATCTCAACATGAGTCAACATGAGACGTTAACTTGATTTTAGCCAGGCTAGCTAGCAAATTCTGACAACTCTGTAAAATATTACACCGCAATGTCATGATAAAGCTGTTAATTCAGCCGAGAGATACAAGACAAACAACATGTAAGGTTACCTATTAGTTAGCAGATTGCAGACACCGCTGATACAGTTGATCATTAGTTACCAACTCACGAAAATAATCAGACAGCAACCATAACATCACTTCACCTTAGCTTTATAAATTGGCGGGTTAATGACGGTATTTCATGGGTAACTTTCCCCTGGGTTTTGTCTACCAGATTCTAATTCCATCTGAGTTTATGGAGGCTACGTATACAGCATGCCACGTTTTTTATGATTGGTATAGGTAAACCAAAAGCCACACCCAATATGTTAATAGAATCAACCGTGAATCCAAATATCATGTTTTAATAGACAAAGATTATTTCGTTTGCACACAAGTCTAAGATTGAGTGCTGCCTGACAGGCTGAATTCAGGGGGTTAGACCACGATCTCTCACACAGGAGGGCGGAGCAATAGAGGAACATCCGGAGAGCCCTGTTGCGTTGCCAGTTTGGATACGTTTCCGTTGATTTCATGTTCTACTGCTACTTTATAAGTTATAAGGTGAAATCCTTTACCAGTAATAACACAGTTTTTAGTGTTCACAAATCAGATTTTCTTCAGTTGTTTTAACCTTATCAATAAAGTATTTAACATTTTGTAAGAACCAGACCTGACCACATAATGTACTAAAACAAATCATTTTCGGTTTAAACCTGCTTCACTTTATATATTATTTGTAAAATGTGACACTAAATCTCTTTCATGTCATTATTTACAATATTTGCCTAATATTAACAAGGCCTTTTTCCATTATACGTCTTCATAAATAGAAAAACCATCCCTGTGTTTTGTCCGCTTGGTTAACTCTGTTTGCATTGGCAGGAATGCAAAGGATACAAGAGGTAAAACCTGGCAACCCAGATCAAATTAGCTTAGCTCGACTGGAGCAGCTTAAGGTCCTCCGTGTTTGCAGTCAACAAAACAGACGTGTTACATAAACATTGTGCTGTTGGAATATGTCGGTAAGTACCAATACACAACGATGATCAGTACACAAATAGATGCAGGGACATATAAATAACGTAAGTGTAGGTTAACGATTCTATTTAGCAAATATGTTATTGGTAAAGATGGCGGCTACCGTTTGTTAGCTTAGCGACCAAGCTAATGTAAAAAAAAAATCCTTCTAATGGAAGAATGAATGGCGACCGTAATAGGGTTTAGCTTATTCAGATAGCATGTTGGCTAACTGGTTTGTTTTTGATGTAATGCCCCGTAACAATCGTGATATGCATTTGGTTAAAACATAATCATCGTCATGACCATATAAAAACCACCGGACGTCGTACATTTGCCGAATTTAACATAAGCAGCTGCTATTTAAAAGTGTGAAGACCTGCGAGATTAATTTGTATTTAGGGCACTATGGTTGTGCTAATGACAAAGTTCTGTTTTGGTCTGTATGGCTGATAACCACAGGCCCATTCACGTACCTATGCTAGATTAATGTTACTTTTAAAGTAATTTCTTATCATCTGACTGTGTATTAAGTTAAACTAGTTTAAAGTACTATCACATTTAAACTGCTGGATGATCAGTGAATCATAAAAAGGGCTGAGTGGAATCGTTCATAGTCAAGCAAACATCTCATGTACAGTACTGAGAAAATGCATGAAATAGGGCTTTAAACCGTTAAAGAAGACAGCCTATTTATAGCACTACAGGCCATCTTCTCTAAAATTGTTAATTTAAAAGTATTTTTCATTTAAATCCTGTCTGCTGACTAGGTGACTTAAATGATGTGCAAAAGGAGATGTTAAGAAAGGAAAAATTGTTTTACACACGTATTAGGAGACTTGTGAATGAGTTTCCTGTCTGTAACCATAATCCATTAGGAAACATATGGTATTATCAATATCAATAAATTAGTCTTTTACTTTACGTGAGTGCTATTTCAGAACTAGTAATTATTTATATTTGTATGTATAAACCCATTCAGGATACAGTGAGATTGATGTTTATATGCATAGTTTTCATTGTGTGTGTGTGTGTTGTGAAGATTGAGCAAAGTGATACAAGGACAGTAGTATTAAAGTAAATCATTTTGTGTCATCAAAACATATGTCCTATATATCCTTATGTAACACAATATGTTATGTTAAAAACTGTCTCATACCCTGCCTCTCTAAATAATTGTATAGAATAGAAAAGTACATCAGTGCTTTAGCTTATTGAACCACACTGATTTGCTGCTGACATGTTTTGATCTCATATCCATATTTTCCAGGGAAGTGACAATGATTCGGTTGACATGACCAGACCAGGCTCCCCAGTTCATCACAAAAAAAAACACAACATGGAGTCATCCAGGTCTCCCCGGAGCTCCAGACATCACCATTCAAGGTCAAGGTCACGCTCCAGGGAACGAAAACGTGAGTATTCAGTAACGGACAAATCCACTGCTGAAGTAGCCGAAAAAATGATGGCCATGGTATGAGTTTTGTTCTCAGCGGATACACTCATGAGATCCATCAGTTTGTGGAAAGAAAAAAGCCACTGACTCATTTAGCAACATATATCAATTAATCGTTATATATTTGTGATGTTACTGAGGTCTATTTGCCAAGATGTAGTTACATGAGCATGTGCCTGTATGATAACATATAACTACTCAACCGCGTTTTGATTTTTAAATGAAATCGAAACGATCAGAAATACATTTAGTCATATCTTTGCTTTCTGCTATTTTCAGGAGACAGAAAAAACAGACGGAGTCGTAGCAGGAGTAAAGAGGTAATTAATACATTTCTTTCTATGACTAAAAACACATTTGATGTGATTTTGAAGTCCTTAAGTAGTTTTCTTGTTAGTTTTAGGTAAAGGTGAGTATGCTTTATAAGGTTACATTTGTTACAATACCTAAAGTTAAGAACAAAAGAAATAGATGACATTGGGCTCGCTCGTGGAATGGTTGACATGTGTCAAAGGAAGCTTTCATCCTTCGATATCTGTCATTGTTTGTGTCCATAATAAAAGGTGAAGAGTAGCTTTTTTTTGTTAAATCCTGTGTGTAGATCACATGATAACATTTCTATAACAAATCATACTCAGCGTGCTAATGCACGAAGAGACTGAACAGAAGACCCTGCTGACATAGCAAAATAATATGTCTACTACTGGGACAGGTAACTATCTGCCATTCAAACTCCTATTTACCTCACACTATTAGAAGAATAATCTTTTTCAGCTAGGGATGGGCATAATTCATTCATTTAATCCAAATGTTCTCTTTTCATTAAATCTGGAATTGTACGACTAATTTGTTTGTATAAAGAGTAAAAACGTTTGAGCCCTCTTAAGTGATTTGCCACATCATACTAATGAAGACTCGTTCCAAACAGTGTTACCCTCACATAAAGATGTTATAAGAATTACACATACGATGGTCATAGGATATTAAATCGGGCAAAAAATAATACTGTGTAGAAATGCATCATTCATTTAATTTCAAAAGGGTAATCCGTGCTTTTATATGTTAATTATACCACCAGTGTTGTTTGATTTGGATGGAGTAAGTAAAGAAGCTGTAAGAAGTAAGTCGATGCCCATCCCTACTTTCACCTTTCAGTGGTTTCAAGTCCAAAGCATTCTGGAGACATTGAATTGGGTTTTTTGCAGAACTGACGACTCAAATATATGTTTATAAGAATTAGATCCTAGTGTTTGCATGCCAAGGATAACATCGTCTGAGAGTTTCCAAATGTGTGTTTTTTTTTAATTGATTACAGTACATTATTACATTACATTTAATTCAGAAAGTATACAGCGCAATAATTTGGCATGTATATAAGCGCTGATATATTTCGAGTCACTGAATGTAGTGCGTCTATATCAGAAATAAATTCCATTCTTGCAATCCTGTTCACAACATGACATTCTGTGTATGTTATGAAAGTAGATTTGAAATGAGAAGGAACTTTTGTTTTTACAAACCAAATTGATTACATACCGCCTGCCTTAAGCCATGGTACTAACTCTTTTTGTTGCACTATTTTCCTGAAAGAGACAACTTCTTCTTAAAACAGGCTCGAAAGAGGGACTCGGAGAAACCATCAAAATCGCACAGAAAAACAGACGAGCAGCAAGAGGCAGAGAGACTTTCAGCAGAGGATGGAGACGAGCGATCCAGACGCAAAGACAGGAAACCCTCCAAGGGCCGCAGCGCCTCCAAGTCACACTCACGAGAGAGGTGAGGCTGATCAATACAATCAATATGTTGCAGGTCTACGTTCATTGTTATTTAGAGTCTGGTATGTTTTCTGGATTAATGATGAGGTCTTAAAATGTATGAAAAGGGTCTTTAAAAAGGTCTTAAAAGGTATTACATTTGACTTCAGGATTCCTGCGTATACCCTGCAACAGATAAACAAATGTATGATAATTTTTATTGTAGAAGTTCTGGTCCTAATTAATAGGTGGCACTTTTCCATATCCAGTAGATTGGATATCCTTAAAGGGAATCTAGGATGAATGGTAAAACGATGCTTCACAACAGTCATTTCTTTGATTCACGTTGATGGAGTTTGTTACTTTCAGACGGCCTCACAGTAAAAGTAAGGACAAACGGCGATCACGATCACGTAGCCGCGACAGGAAGAAGAAGGCGGCGAAGTCTCGCTCGGGTTCAAGGACCAAACACCGCCATCACAGCAGAAGTCGCAGTAAAAGCAGGTGAGAGTGATCCTACCGTTTAGATAAAGTGTTTTTGATCTTTTGTTCTACTTGCTAAGTTTCTTTTTCTGTTGTTGTTCCCCCAGGGAGCGAAAGAAAAGGAGTGAGAAAGTGCTAAAAAAGAGTCGAAGCAGGTCTGTTAATCCACCTGCCTTCCGGGGCCGAAACCCAGCTATGGATGCACAAGAGGCCCTGGCCAGAAGGCAAGGCAACAGCTTCTAGGGCTTTTACAATGTAGATGGTCGGGCGTCCTGTTCTGGCCAAATCCAAGCAATGCTAGAGGTGCCTTCTGCATCTGTGTACAAGCAGCTACAAAGCTCTCTTTTTCAGTTATTACCCTAACCTTGTCAACCTCTACTGCTCTACTAATGCCTGACATTTTAAGAAGATGAAATGGGTAGCAGTGAAATGACAGAGTATGAAGCTTTAGACCATACAGACATCTAAATCCCTCCATCAGCCAGCTGGCTCACTCCTGAAGTTATTCAGATTAAAGTTGTTGATCACTGGGTTTAGTTTAATCTGACTTCTCAACCATGTTGCACTTGCCATGAGAGCACATGTGTTCATAAAACCACATTGGTAAGAAATCAAGGACACATTAAATTCAGATAGATGGGGTACACTGGTTGTCTTGGTGAACATGTGATTTTAAATATCCACATTTAGTCTGGCCGGGGACCTTTGTTGCATGTTGCACCTTCTTAATCTGCCTTCCTTTCAAATCTCTACTGTCCCCTGTTTAAAGGTGGGGTAGGTAATTCACTTCAGAAACACTTTTTGTTATATTCCATGGAATGCTCTTAACATCCCGATAGCAATGAATACATTAAATGCTTTGACAATAAATACATACAAATATTTCATCTGTGGAAGCCGTGGCGCTGTAAAACGCACGTCCAATCATCTGAGCCGGCCCGGCTAAAATAACTGGATGGCCTACCTGCCTGTCAGCCTTCCATCTCGTGCACAAACTTATCTCGTGCCCTCATTGGTCATGTGCGCATTCGTGTGTGTTGGAGGAGGGGCTCTGTAAGGAAGTCTGAAGGAAGGGGCAGATTGTTTTCGGCTGCGTAGTTTCAAATTCTAGCGCACTCGAGCTGGTTTCTCCATTCTTACCTACCCTACCTTTAATGAATGCAATAATGCTACAAAAATGCAAGTGTAAAATCTGGCTTATGTCTCCAACATGTTGCAATGATTATGTTTGCGTACAAAATATATTATCACTTCTAGATACACAGAAGGTGACAGAAAAGGCTTTTAGATGAAAAAAGTAACGTGATGATCTCTCTGTTTTCCTTCCAGGCTGGAGAGAGCAAAGAAACTGCAGGAGCAGAAGGAGAAGGAGATGCTGGAGCAGCAACAGCAGGAGATAGCTACAGGTGAGAAGAGCTTAATGTGCCAAGTTTTCAAATCATTCGAGTCAAGATTCAGTAACTTAACTCATGCTGTCTTTTCTATTTCCAGTGACCGCCCCTATCACGGCGACGGCTGCTGCTGTGAGCACATCGAACCCTGCGCTCAATGTGGCCGCCCTGCTAGCCTCTGGGACCCAGGTCACGCCACAGATAGCCATGGCGGCACAGATGGCAGCCCTTCAAGCGAAAACACTGGCAGAGACGGGCATCGCGGTGCCCAGCTTCTATAACCCATCCGCTGTAAACCCCATGAAGTTTGCAGAGCAGGAGAAAAAGCGGAAGATGCTATGGCAGGGAAAGAAGGAGGGGGTAAGATAGGATTTTGCTGTTACTTCTTATTTATCCACCAATTCCATATTTGAATAACATTACATGAGTCTTATCATTTCTGTTTTCTTTTAAGGACAAATCCCAGACAGCTGAGTTGTGGGAAAAGCTCAACTTTGGAAACAAGAACCAAAATGTTAAATTCCGCAAACTAATGGGAATAAAAGTAAGTAATTGTCATTTTACTCGAAGACAAAACAAGTTGTTTGTTGTTTGTTAACAGCATTCAAAGTTGGCCCCTCCTCTCCGGCTCAATGAGGGTTACAGTGATTGCCTGCTTGCATTTCGTCTGGATTTTATACGTTTTTCAGCCCTGTGAATGCTTTTCGTAGCTTACTCTTGGATGCATACTTAGGATCAGACATCTGGTCACTACGTTTTATAGAGATTGACATTTCAGAATAGACATATGAACACAGCAATATAAAAAAAGTTGCCGTAAAATGTTCAATACACCACTTGATGCTTTCTGAATGTTTTCTTTTCCGCGCTAAAACCTGTTTTGTGTGTTTACAGGGAGAGGATGAAGTGGAACCCGAAGTCGCCCAACCGCTCAACGAAGAAGGCTTGAAGACTCTTCAGAAGCAGGAGGAGATGTTCAGAAACCTGGACGTTCAGTACGAGATGGCTCGCTCTCAGACGCACACTCAGAGGGGGATGGGGCTCGGCTTCGGCTCCTCATTCTCCCGTGGGATGGACTCCATCTAGTGCCAGACATTTGCCCCGCATCTGATCACACGGGACCACCAATTCATCGCTAGCCCTCAAGCTTGCATGGATGTCGCTATGAATCTGTAATTTATTTATAGACAAACATCTCACATATTGGAACATTATAATGTAAATAGGCAGATGCTGAGTATGTCTCACTGTGTATTAATCTGTATTGTAATCTTTGCAAAAGGATGCATCAGCTTGACTAGTTGATACTGGTTAAGATTAGATATGTTATTTGTTTGAAAATGTGGTAGTTTTTTTTTAACTCATATTTGTGATTGTTTGAACATATACAAAATATAATATGGCTCAAGTAAACACATTTTACCCCAATTTAGCAAAAAGGCGTCTGAAGTCAGTGTAGCATTATCAAAATCTCTCAGATTTAATTTTCCTGATTGGGAAAAACACAGCATTGGATTTTATTACATATTGTACTCAGTATTGCCATGGATAAAGATGCTTGACAACAGAAATCACATATTTCATATGCTCCTGAAATAAATTAGTTTTGTGTTGAATGTGGTTATTTTTATTCATTTCAACACCGATAAGATTTTTGGTTTAAATGAACAAATAATGTTTTTCCAAACCAATTTGTAAACAATGAAACAGGCAAAATCATATGGAAAAAAAGCTATTTTTAATTTCAATGAATTGTTTTATTAATTATGTTTTAGAACCATGCATTATCTTCACAAAATGTTACATGTTTTGTAAAACACAATTTGTGTGCAATCATAATTAAAATAAACAAATTATTAGACCATAGCAAAAGGACTCCCCTGAAGGTCGACACAATATCGAGTTGTCATGCAGCCCTAGTTCTTACGAAACCTGATAGAAGGCCCGTTTGGCAAAAATGAGACTTTACAAAGCAAATAAAGGACAGTTTCATATACAAAAATAGATATTTATTAGAATACTGGTAAAAAAAGGTTCAGTTAAATTCTTGGTGTTTACGCCGAAATGAAAATCTCCTATTTACATATAAGACTGGAGTACAGCACATGAGCAACACCGGTGATGAGGTTGTGGTTGGCGAACTCGAGGATGAGGAGCAGGATGGGGAACTCGCTGTGTCTCTTCTCCACAGTGGACTCCTCACTTAAACCCATCCAATGTAGCAGCAGAGTCTGCATGGCTTCTGGGAAAAGCTCTGTCACTAGTTCCTCAGCAGGTGGCAAGTCACTAATCCGCTCAATGTGCTGAACTTTAAAGTCCTCCACTCTCTGGCTGATGCTGCCGTTGGCTGCGTGAAACTGCTGGCCTAGCCACCGTCCTACACCACAGAGCAGGGAACTTGAATACACACTGCCCCAGTCTTTGGCCTTTAGTAGGGCTATGACCGTGTCTGTTACATCCTTTTCTTCTAGATTCCCATTCATGTACCGCTCAATGTTCTCCAAAAGCAGCAAGATAGTCTCCAGCTGGTCTGTGTAGCTGTGAGTCACAGAGGAGAGTTTGTCATCCAAGCTCTGTAATTTCTCTCTCACTGTCGAAACAACAAGTTGGCTGTGCTCTGTTTGCAATGTCTGTTTAGGAAAAGAACAGTAGTCGTGATCTGCTGATGCATCAACTGTTTCACTGCTATATACATCCATCGATTCCCTACCAAACTGGCGATGCTGAGGTTGTGACATTTCCCTCCTGGATTCTGTATCCTGCAGGCTGCTGGACGGAGCGTTGTCCAGCTGCACACTGAGGCTGTAACTCGTTTTCAGAGGGCTGTCATTTATCTGGGATTTCCAAACATCCTGCAATGTTAAACAGTAAGAAATACAAAGATACATTGAAAAAAGCAAATATATTATGTAAAGACATTCTAAATGCTTACTGTACTGCACCTGGAAGTTCTCAAGCACATCAAGCTGCTCCTGCTTACTGTACATCTCGAACGCTACTCGGAAAAGTCCTTGAACGCTGTAGAACCAGAGGCTGTTGTTTGCAGTAGATACCTTCAGCCCATGGAACCTGAACGCTGCAACAGGAAGACAACAGTGTGGTGTATTGGTGTAGGGGAAGTCATTGGAACACATTTGTGCTGCTAATTTCTCCTTTGTATTTGTTTACCTGAGGAAAAATGTATTTTCGTTGCAAAGCCTTTCTTGGCAAACTTGGCATGGTATCTGGGATGGTTCTCTGTGCGAATGTCTGTGTTGGAAAACAGATCAGCGCCTAAAAAGAGAGGAACCACTGGACTCTGAAACAGATACAGAGATGATACAAATGATGTCGTTTGGTGTGATATTAACATAAATTGAGAAGTAATACTACTAATAAAATGCATTTTAAAAACAGACAAGATTACAGACAACTGTCAAGTTGCTTTACAAAAACCGGGAGTGGAAGATGTAACTTTTTTACTGTAGTAAAAGTAAAAGTCCTGCATTGCAAACATTACTCATTTAAAATTACAAAAGTATTAGCATCAAAATAAACTTCAAGTACCAAAGTAAAAGTCCTCATTATGCAAATGGATCCATTTCAGAATACTATATATTGTATATTTTGATAATCAATATTGATGCATTCCTCTGTTATCAAAGCTGGAAAAGGTGCAGCTAATTGTAATTACTTTGTATGCTGCAGGGTAGCTTGTTTTACTCGAGGTGTAAGAAAAGTCTTATTTAAGTGTTGAATATAATTCAAACCATTAATAAAACATTCAGTAGTGGAGTAAAAGTACACAATTTACCTCAACGTAGCCAAAATTGAAATACTAGAGTAAAGAACAAACTCCTCAAAAATGTACTTAAGTACAGTACTTGAGTAAATCTACTTAGTTACTTTACACCACTGACAGACAGAAGCCTGCAGTAACACTCACCTTGTTGGAGCAGTCCGTCAGTCTGAACGATGTCAGATTCACCAGCTGAATAAAGCGAATTTTCCGAGAGCCCCCGTCCCAATGCGGTAAAGTTAAGTGGGTAGTAGAGGGGCTCGACATTGCTGGAAGCAAGGGAAGCTTCTCAATCACTCACAAATGTCTCTTGACCCGTAGAAAGACTGATTGTTTCACCATTATACTCCACACTACAGTAAAGTAACGACATTCAAGCGGCGTTAACAGGCAACAGCAACAAACCGAGATGACTGCCGGAATAGGAATTAAAGGGCTATTTTACGCCCTTGACTTTGTCTTAAAGGCGAAAGCAGCGGCGATTCATGAGCTCTATAACACTATGCACTGAAATGTTCAGAAAAGTACGAAGTGTGGACTTGTACTTTCAAATAGAATTACACATTAATTATCTGTAATGTGAAGAGACCTTAGAAGCAACCATAGTTTATTATCCTTGTGTTTAATTGATGTAGCCTGTAATACATGTTTCTGGGCTTAGAACAACACCATTTGTCGTCTGCGTTTCACGTGACATGAAGAGAACCAATGAAAACGATGAATAACTGCTTTCACCTCTGAACCTGGATCCGTCCTGCCTGCACCACAGTGTTGTAAAAAATGGCTGAAGTTGATTTCGGCGACAGTGAGCTCTTTGAGCAGCTCGATGACTCTGCACCGCCGACCGTCCCCACGCATATTCACTTCCCTGATAGCGATGAGGAAGACCAGGAGGAGACGAGCCAGCTCCCGAGCCGGCTTAAGGAGTGTGATGAACACATCCAGAGACTCACCGAGGAGAATATCCTTGTACCAGTGTGTGTTAGCTCTGTGGATGTAGCACAAGCTAACGGCGGCTAACGTCGCTAGCCTACTGTCAATAACCAAAACAGAAAACGCACAACCCATAAATGTACGCTGATGGCTATTTTTTTTAGAATGTCTGTCTAATTCCTTAACTCATTGATCACATAAAGGTTTGAGAAGGAAACTGAACATCATGGCACGACCAAGGTAATTGTGAGCTGAATAGTTAATGCGCCAAACAAATGAAACGAAACTCAACATAACAATCATTTCATGGTGTTTCCCATAGTGCACACAATTCTTAGTCTTGCCAACATTAAATGGAACATTGATTGGAATATAATTTCAGATGTAATTATAAATTAATTGTAGAATTATATTTATATTGACCAATTAACTAGTATTTCTATTTTATACATCTGTAAGTGTGATAGGCATTATGAGATGTTTTAATGTTTGATGATTGTTATTAGTGATGTGTCGGTCGCGAACGAGCCGATTCTTTTGAACGGCTCTTTGGTACGAACGAGGGGAACCGAGTCCTACTTTGTGAGAGCCGTTCTTGTTATCGTTCAATCGTTGGTCCGCACTCACTGCCTGCCAAAATCCACTCGCCTTTTAAAAAGCTTGATTTTGTTCCCCAAACGTATTCTGTGAAGATCCGCCCCTACTCTGTTTGGTAGGTTTCAGCACGAGGAGTGAGATGGGGTGGGTCTTAACGGAATACGCGAGAGAGAGAAGTCATAACAAGTGGTACAGGACAGGTAGACAACGTGTTTTTCGGATGGTAAATGAGCCAAACGCGAAAACGCAGCAGCATTTGGATTCACTTCAACCAAAACCCAGGCAGTGATAAAGCGCACCATTTGTAAAGGCAAAATATCCTTTAAAGCAGGGTCAACAAATAATCTCCATCGCCACTTAAAAACACAGTATCTAATATTAAGAGTTGCATGAATTTCATTCAAGGCAAGGCAACTTTATTTACTTAACACATACAGAGGGTAAATTCAAAGTACATTCACTGACATGATGACATGGATATGGCGCCACCTTGTGTCATGTTTACAATGCCGATTATTGACATTAGGTCTGGCAATACAGTCAATCATTATCCTGGTGATTATTTTGCAGATAAACCTAGTAACCTTAAAAAAACGGCTCTTTTGAACGGCTCTTTTGAACGGCTCTTTGAAAGGAACGGAGCCATAAGATCCGGCTCCCTTCAAAGAGCCATAATTCCCATCACTAATTGTTATGTGTGTCACTGCCCAGCGACTGCAGATGGAAATGAGATTTATGATATAATCTGGCATATAGCATATTTTTATGCATGGTCCTTGTGCAATAAACATATATAATAATAATAATAATAATAATTGTTCTTTCTCTTTACAGCGGCATGCATATTGAAGATGCCAACATGGACGGGCCAGCTCTTCAAGTCCTTTATGCAAACAACATTATTTCAAAGTAAGCAGTCAAATTTCTTGTTTCACTTCTGGTTTGCATCGTATGTTTTATCACGTCTGTCCTAGTATGTCCATCAATGGTTAAAGAATATAACATTTCAGAACAATGTCTGTCTTTTTATATGTGTTGATGCATCTATGATTTTAATATTAAAGTTGGGGGTAATTTCAATTGCTTTATAATAGTGTGTTGTTTTATCAATAACGTATATCTTCATTGTTGATCATATTTTACATACCTATTCACTTAATTGATCAAATATAGCGTATTTAGTAGTTATAAGAACAATATCTCCCTCCGAGTAGAATTTTAAAGTTACATAAAATGTAATTACTCAAGTGACTCAAAATTGTACTTTAGTGTAGTGCTTGAATGTATTTACTTACTGTTCACCACTGCTGTTGGCATGATGGTAAAACATTTCTGTTTAACCTTGTTAACACTATTGCTAAAACACATTTGTTATACGTTTCTTTTGTTTGGTTTTCACACATTGGGTTATAAGATGAAAGTACAGAATTTCTATTACCTTGGTGTGTGTGTGTGTGTGTGTGTGTGTGTGTGTGTGTGTGTGTGTGTGTGTGTGTGTGTGTGTGTGTGTGTGTGTGTGTGTGTGTGTGTGTGTGTGTGTGTGTGTGTGTGTGTGTGTGTGTGTGTGTGTGTGTGTGTGTGTGTGTGTGTGTGTGTGTGTGTGTGTGTGTGTGTGTGTGTGTGTGTGTGTGTGTGTGTGTGTGTGTGTGTGTGTGTGTGTGTGTGTGTGTGTGTGTGTGTGTCATCGCTAAATTGTTAAAAACGTAAACTATACACGTCTTCCCTTTTTAGGCAATGTCGTCAAGAAATTGAAGATTCCATCTGCAATTTGATTTTGAAGCACCAGAACCCGAGCAATGAAAAGAGAACATCCATCATTCAAATGAAACCTCAGGTATTAAACAAGAATGTGTTTTTTTGTCATTAATATCAATAGAGTTATGAACCTATGTTAAAACATGTTCTGTTCTATATGAAGAATTCAGCCTTTGCTATGGATGAAGATCCGCAGAAGTCTTCTTCCAGCGCTGTAAAAAAAACAACCGAAGCCTTTAAAGTGAGTATTTACTGTAATTTACAGTAGTTTGAATATTGCATAATTTATAACCCTTGCCACATGGAAAAGAGAATTGGATGTTTCAAATAGATTTCCTGCTAAGTTAACATATACACTGTTTCTTTTCTAGGTGGTGGGAAGTGTGTTATATTTCACTACCTTTAGTGTTGACAGACTTGGACAGCCTCTGTTAAATGAAAACCCCCAGCTGACAGATGGATGGGATGTTCCAACGTATCTTTGAGAATGATAAATTGAAGCAAAAAAACAAAAATAAACAGTGTAGTCAGTTCACTTGTCTTCAACAAGGGATCAGAATATTCTCTTTGAAGTGAAGATGTCCTGATTTCTACCACTGGTACAATAAATATCAAAATGGCAATTCTCTTTAGGGAATCATTTAGCTTTTACTTTTAAACAAACACATAACATTTCCTGAATTTTTGTAAAGCTATCAACAGGTTTTCAACCAAGTCGTTGGCACAGATGGACAGGATATTGAAATGAAAGAAAAAAGGTATGTAATAAAAATGTATTTAGTTTCTATCCTTTGATTCTTCTTTTGTTTTTGTGTGGCATATACCTGTATAATGAGTCCATCACTGATCTGTTCATCGTAGACCCAAGTCAATGTGTTTCAACTGTGGTTCGAGTGGTCATCAGCTGAGAGACTGTCCCAAGGTAAGAACAAGTTAGCATTATTATGATTTGAATGTGAACACGAGTCAGAACTTGATATACTCTATTTATACATGTTAACCTCCATAGCCCAAAGACATGCCTGCAATTAATGAGCGAAGAAAGGAGTTCAATCAGAACAGCAACCAGTCCATGCAGAGCAACCAGCGGTACCACGCTGATGAAGTGGAGGAACGCTTTGCGAAATACAAGCCTGGAGTCATGAGGTAGGCTTTTTAGTTCATGCCCAATAGACACTACTAGGGCTGCAACCAGTGATTTCTATTTGTATTATTATATATGTAAAACCTATATGTTTGATCCTGAAAACAGCATGTTCTGCCATTTTGCAATAAAAAAATACTTTAATGATTGATGGATTATCAAAATAGTTATTTTTCTGCTGATACATTTACCGTTGCAGCTCTACAAACATTAGTTTTACACATGTTAGGTATATTGTTCATGTTAAAGTAAGTCTTGAACCTAAATGTTTTCCACTGCTGTGCTTTTGAACAGTGAGGAGCTGTTGACAGCTCTGGGAATTGAAGGAAACACCCTGCCTCCTCTCATTTATCGAATGAGGCAGATGGGATATCCCCCAGGCTGGCTCAAAGAGGCAGAGATGGAAGATTCTGGCTTGACGATGTATGATGGGAATGGTATGTTTACAATTCAATTTAAACAGATTTTTCTTTCAGATATCAAAACATAATAATTTAATTGCGATGTAGAAAGGTTTGACTGAATCTGTGACTATTTTCTTCTGTTTTCTAGTTTCAAATGAAGGTAACCCAAAAGACAATTCCCAAAACATCTCTTATGATGTTTCCAAACTGGTGGACTTCCCCGGTTTCAATGTTTCTGCACCACACACAATGAAAGATGTAAGTCATTCAATATAACTTTTTATTTTTGATGTATCACTAGTTACATTCAAGTTCAGGTATCTAAATAATATTGATATCTTAATTACATAGATTTTTATATTATTATCTCCAGTTTATCTTAAATCAGAAAAAAGGAAAATAATGGAAATCAATAGTATTTTCAGCATCAGTATCTACTTAAGGACCTACATTTGATCCATATAATTCGTATTATCATTTTCACTAAATTGATATATTATCTACGTGAATTCTGTATTATGAAGTCACTTTGAGATTTATGCGTGTGTACAATGCTCTTTCTTTTGATCAAGTCAAACATTTCAGTGTGTTTTAATGGCAGGACATTCTTACAAAATGTGCTAATCTAACACTTTTTTTTAAATGTCTTTTCACCTCCAGGAGTTCATGCAGTATGGTTCAATTCCAATGCAGACCAACCACATGAAGCCAAACTATGCAGCTTATCTGTCCAGCAACTTCCCTATGGTAAATCTCCTGAAGTCCCTCAAACGGTTGTTTTTCTTACTCTCAAAACATGGACAGATTTTTGTCCCTTTTTGTTTTTTCAAACCATTACTTCAGTTTCTCTCAATCTTGGTTCTTGATGTTGATACTCAAACATAAGGGTAAGGTTTAGGTAATTACATTAATTACATTTTTGTAAGGTAAGCTAATATTCAACAACATCCTATGATGAAGTGACACCACTTTGCTTTCCACTATCCTCACAGGGTTTATTTATAAAATCAATCAATGTCACTGTTTGCTTCCAAATCATTCAATGCAAATGAGAATATATCATATATAAATACCAACAGGAAATATTATAAATAAAAATAATTATAAAAGAACCATCAAAGATAAATAACACAACATAGGTGCCTGCCTACTTCCAACAGAAACCAATCTGCTCTCTGTATTTTAACTTTTTGTCAATGAACTGGCACTGATAAAGAGAGGATGATGATCACTGGGTATTTGGGAAGAGTCCTTACATATTTTAATTCCACTTGTCTTTCTTGCTTACGAACAGCCTGGAGCCACCAGCAACAAGAGGCGCCATGAATCAGAGTCATCTCCGCACCAAAAGAAGAGGACGAGGCCCAGTCCTGATCAGAACTCTGACAGGAGCTCCGACATGGATATTGAGTCTGGTAAATGTTCATCTCTCTCACCTAAAAATGGGCTTCACAAATTACTTGAACACAAAGTTATCGAACTAAAATGGAAGATGTGTCTGTCTGACTTTATTAGGATTACATGGCTCTTTTAAAGCACATATCTAATCACATGACAGAAATAGATCTTCTGGAGGTAAAACTAAGCCTCAGAAAGTGGAAAAAAGGGGGTATATTGACTTTAAAGATGTCATGGTGTTGCTGTCAGACTTACTGGTTTGAGTATTTTAGAAACTGTTGATCTGTTGATCAGAGTTTTTTGGGTTGTAGTGCTTTATGTTTAAAAGCTAGATATCAAAGTCAAAAACTGCACAAGCAATATTGTGCTTTTAACAATGTTGCCACGTTGTAAAAAGCAAGTCTTGTGTTTGCATTTCAAGGCGAAAATTCAGAACAATGTACCCTAACACTTGAATCAACTTATTTTTCTAATCTTCCCCCATCTCCCCTCAGATCCAGGAACTCCTTATTATCAAGGCCCAGGTGACTTCCAGTTCCAAACACCACTCCCCCCTGGCTCCCCTTGCTACGATTCTCCTCCTCCTTTACCTCTGGGCACTCCTCCTTCAACACCCACTCCCCCACCTCTCCCTAAAGGTACACCTCCTCCCACACCAACCAACGGATCCCCAGCTCTGCGGAGGCGTAGCTGGGTAGTAGTGGATGAGACTGTACCGGCAACAGAGGATGAGTTGTCATTGGAGGAACTGGAGGAGCAGCAGAGGCTGATTTGGGCCGCACTAGAAAATGCTGACACTGCCACTAACAGTGACTCTGAGACACCTGTAGTGGGAACACCTGTACCTAGTTCACCAAGTGTGTCCATACCGCATGTTGACACGGAAACGGAGGAGGTGGAAGAAACGATGGACACAACGACACCCGCAGAAACTTGCCCTAGCAGTAAAATTCAAAAGAAGCCTGTGGTTCAAGAGATTAAAGCTCAGAGCCCCAAACCAGTCAAAGCACAAGAAGAAATCCTGCAGAGTCCAGTTCCAATCAAATCTCAGGATGACAGCCCGCAGAGCCCTGATCCAATGAAATGCCAGGATGAAAGCCCTCAGAGCCCTGATCCAATCAAATGCCAGGATGACAGCCGGCAGATTCCAGATCTAGATCCCTCTAATGCTGGAGATTGTGCTTCTCCTCAGCATGACGACAAGATATCCGCTGTTCCTCATAGAAGCAGGTTTGCAGCTGGCATCGTTCAGTTTGAAGATACACCAGAGTACACTGAAGTCGCTGAAGCCACAGGGACATACCTTAAGATCAGAGACTTGCTCAAAAGCTCCCCTCGAAGTATCGCAAAGAAAAAATAAAAATGGACCATCTTCATTTGGATCATAGCAGGGATGCATCAATATTTTTTTAACACAAACTTGACCATCTTATAAAGCATGTATTTAGCTGTTAATTGTTTTTTTACCAAGTTGAATGTCTATGCTGTGTATACACATTTGCTCTGTTAAGATACAAGGGAGGGGCATTAAGGAATGCTGCAACGGAAAACGTTTGTAGGTTTTGACCAATTAGTCTAATTTTTTTCTAGCAGTTGTGTTACTCATGCTGTTAATTTTATTGTACAATTATAAAATGGTCCTTTCCTGAATTCTATTCATTTTAATATTATGCTGTTTAATGGGGTTTTCTATTTTTGTCCCACTGAAATTGCTCTTAAACCATTCAGTAAACAGGCTTTCAATTGCGTCATTGCTTTATTTGGAACTGCATACCAACAATTAGCATTTTCTTCATTTTTTTTTACAGCTTTCAGAAAGGGATTAATCAGGTGGATAAGCTTTTAACCAAGAATAATACATGGTACATTATTTGTTGATTATATTTTGTAATATTAATCTGAATATTCAAAGTAACTCAAATGTGGTAGGTAAATGTGGTAGAGATGAAAAAAACCTTAAAATTTGCCTCAAGACAAATACTTGATTCAATATAGCTCGTTACTATCCACCACAGATTATTTCATATAAGCAATTGAGGATGTTTATATTATTTATATAATATTATGGGATTTTTACAACAAGTAAATGTTGTGTCAATCGTTTCTTTCTGAGTGTTCAGTCAATATTCTAAACTATGTGTAGATAGAGACTTGCACATACATGCATACGAAATGAGTTGCACATACATGCATACTAAATACTCACATACACCTACATACAGTACATACTTGTGCAAATACACATTCATACACAAGCTCGTGTGTGTCTGTATATATGTTGTTTCTAAACCCTTCCAAAGTAATCTGAAACTGTTTATCTACAGTACACTTATTTTTCTTCTCAAAGTTTGATTTATTTCCAGTGGCAGTTTCCTTAATGGTCACTTAAAATTTCATTTATGAATATATTTGTTTTCACTTGATTATTTTCAAGAAGATCTAACTAATGAATTAGGTCTTAGATTGAAATCCATTTTCTGCCAATGCATTGGGGGAAAAGCATACCTAAGCAAGTTATTAGTTTAAAGTTGTAACTGTAGATACAAAAAAGTTATAACTTTAAATAAATAATAACAAAAAAACTCTAATATCAAATCTTAAAATACGTTCCTGGCTTTTTTGAGAAGTTTTTTTCAGAAAGTTTGTAATAATACTGACTGAAATATTGTTTTATTTTATCACAAGGCAACGTTTTTCTTAAATTGTTCTTCTACTGGTGGGCATCTGCTTAAATAGTATCAACAGCAAAGTTTGTCTGGAAGTAAAATACTGGCATACACCTACATACAGTAGGCTACATATTTATATGTACTTATTATTTTTTGAGAAACTAAGTGGCCATTTTTGGAGTCTCAGTCATTATTTTTCAGAAAGTTTGTAATAATGACTAAAATGTTGGGGTTTTTTTTCACCACAAGGCAAAGTTTTCATCTATTTTCCTTCTACAAGTGGAAATGTGCTTTACAAGTATTAACAGTAAAGTTGAACTTCTGAAAATGTATTCTGCTGTCTCAGAAAGAGGCAGTGTTTCATCTTACTGAACATAACATCTTTGGGCGGCCCCGTCCTACCGTTGACGTTCCTCCCGTTGGTCAGACAGCACTGGGCTCTGATCCGTCGACGTGCTTCTCTACTTAGCTTAGCGGTGTATTTCCTGAGAAGACGTAGGCTGCACAGCAACATATCAGGTCAGTATTAGCTAACTCCGACGAGGTCATGTGTTCACATAAACTTGTTTGACTTTCCCCTACCGATAAACCATGAAACTCCACGCTAAATGAAACGTGTCCAGGTTAGTGATACTTAAGGTGGTAGTTTTAGCTAGCTAACCTAGCTTAACAAATCCTGCTTCTCTGGGTCGGGCCTCGCAGCTAACGTTACTTAGCAACTAATTACCAGTATTCCAATCTTAATAACAGACTGGGATTCATTTTAGCCGGATATGTGAGTGTACAGTGAAAACAACTGATATTAACAACATTATAAGGAAAGGTGTTTTAACAGGTGACTTCACGTTAATCTGTTAGAAATTGTTACGCAGACTCTCAACTTGTAGCAGCAGTGTGCCCTACTGGAGCTCTGGTGACATTGCGGACACTTTTGGACTCAAGGAATTTGCTTTAGTCGTTTTGCTTGCCACACTGGTCGGGCTATTCCGGTGTTTTGAATGTTACCTGTATAACTCATCACAAACAGGATATATGTCTCACCAGATTTGTCAACTAAGCTAGTAAGGTAAGTACGCTAGCGGTTATGGTGGTTGTATATTCTCAGATTTATTTTACCAGATGTGCCACCTCATCGACAGCTCTCAATCCGCTAGCTACTGAGAGGGTACAAGGCGAGGCACTTTCAAAGGCTATACCACTGCCAAGACCTCAGGACAGTGGTTTAAAGTAAACACATAGATTTAGTTAAGCACTGTACAATTGTGGGGTACTTGTACTTTACTTGAGTATATCCATTGTATGCTTATTTGTACAATTCAGAGGTCTATCATGTACTTTTACTCCCCTGCATTTATTTAATACCTTTAGTTACTTTGCAGATTTGGATTAATAATGTGAAATAAAATCAAATAAGAATTTAGTTACACCTGGAGTAAATTCACAAGCTACCTTACAGTATACAAAGTAATTAAAATGAGCTGCACCTTTTCCAGCTTTGATCACACTAATGCATCAATAATTATGATCAATACATATGGTATGTATTATTCTGAAATGGGCCAATCGGCATAATGAGTACTTTTACTTTTGGTACTTTAAGTATATTTTGATGCCAACACCTTTCTACTCTTACATATGTAACATTTTGATTGCTGGACGTTTAATTGCAACTGAGTATTCCCACACTCTGGTACTTCGACTTTGACTTAAGTACAAGATCTGAGTACTTCTTCCACCTCTGCCTCAGGATAATTGACTTGACTGCACAGGTACACTATGTCAGTGAAGCAACTGCACATAAGTAGATTAAATGCATTTGGCAGTTGAAAGGTGATACTATTTATTTTAAGCCTTTCTGTTTCGGACAAAAAACAGTTTAACAGATTAATAAGAATTACGTTTTTTTATGTCGGGTTACAGGCTGGGGAATTTGAGTCAATAACACTTTGAAATTCCGGTATTTCTACTAGTCTTAATCTTCTCCATGTGGAATTTAATCTCAGGCTATATGATAGAATGGCTAACATTGGTGAGGAAGTCTGATTTAAAAAAAAGTGTATTAATTGGTACACATAAAAAACATTATGTAGAAAACATTATGTATGATTTTACATAAACTTAATGTTATACAAATCTATAGCTGTTCTAATGGAAGAGGCTTTATACGTTCTGGAAAGTCTGAATATAACCTTGGTGTCGCAGTGGAAACTTTGGATACCCAACCATATATTTCGGTCTCCTTTTATGTCTAACCACAATTGTAAGTGCCAGGATTTGTGTTGAGACTGGCTAGAGTTGATATATAGTAGCTGTAATGTAGGTTTAATGTCCGCCTGTTGGCAATGAGGCTCCTTGAAAACAGGTGAATCTGTTTCACAGACACAGAAGACGTAGGATGCTTCAAGCTCTCATTCTGTGCTCATGTCCTGTTGGTGTTTTTCCACACCTTCCACTGTCAGTGCTAGCAGGGGACTACACAATCATCCCAGCAGATGTTTCCTCAAAAAGGAAGAACCAGAGCTACTTATACCGGTGAATACAAACATCTGCGGTTGTATAAAGGTGTAATAGGTAGCCGTGTTTGTAGACTTAGTCCAGTCAGTAAAAGCTGGACCTGCTGTAAAAACATTCTTAGGAAACATATTTGTACTTTAATATTCTTGATGTCAATGGTTATTATTAGCCTGCTGAAAAACATGATGGAATGAAAGCCTGCTGTCTTGTGTAACAAGTACACCCTCCCGCCAGTTAACAAATACTTGGGAGGCTGAACTGGATAGAGAGTTTGTACTGTTATAACAACACATGCAAACAGATTCAGTTCACATCTGTATCATAAATTGTTTTGCACTCCTGCAGTCGGCAAGATATGCTTGACTGAAGAATGTGGGCGAGAGTACTGTATCCTATAAAGCCAGTTTATTAACTAGGTAGCAAAGTTATGTAGATATTGATCTGCAGATTTATTTTTGTTCTGCTTTTCCAAACATGCTTTTGAAAATGAGTAATCGTGAAATCCTCACAAACGGTCTACTGTTCATATCCTGTGAGCACATACACTTCTGTTATTACCAACATGGAAGTTGTTTATGTGTATGCAGTCATTTTGAGAAGTGGAGATGATCTCAGTTCTGTTACTGACTACCATATATACCCATTTCTTTTTGTGTATTGATAACTGATTTTCTACCAGACTACATTGAATTGGGTATAGCTAAGAAAGTAAAAAAGGTTCATTATAATAACGAACCTTTTCCCAAACATTGGTATTTGGCTTTCTCCACCAGATTTACGTGAGAGTCAGTGCCACAAGATTAACATTACTGCACTGGGAAATTCTCCAGACTAAGTGGATCATTTTCAGCTGACTGCTTTCGTTCAGACAGAGCTGTCCCATCCTCTGTTGATGCTCACAAGAAAGTTGTAAGCAGGCCTGGTGATGTTCTAAAGATATCATTATGCTTTTATTGGCTTCAGAAACAGTTCTTGCAATATTCCAAAGGCTTGTAGGAGTTTCCCTTTTTATCATTTGTGCTGTATAATTATTATACATAAACTTTAGAATGAACCATGTAGTCTCCAGCCATAGAAAGGTTCTCTCTATTTGGCTTCCCATTGACCTGACGGCTTAATCAGTATCACTCAAAGGCACTGTGGGAAAAAACTGGAACGCTGCATTTGAACTAGGTCACTGCCTTCACTGCTTTCTGATGGCCACCCTTTATTTTCTGCTGAGAAATAATGATTAGGCTGTGTGAAATCGTGTCTTCGGTAAACCTACATACTTGAGCTCTTAGGCCCTTACAGGAATGAAAGGTATGTTTGTGTGACACCATGGAACAAGTTATTCATTACATTTTTACCCTTTGTGAGATCAAATGTCTTAGCTGACCTTTTTATTTATGAAAGGGACTTCCGAACAGGCACCCATTATCAAGACATGTTTGTTACTCTGCCCCGGGACCCTTCAAGGGTTTGAAATCAATGATTATGCTACTGAAAGAGAATAGTGAAACCATTTTGCCTGATATTATCCAAGCTGTTTATACACTTTACTTACATGGCTGAAGCTAATTTCAGGAGGACAAGTGAAATTACTGCTAAAGCTTGACTGGCATTCAGTGTGTAACAGAAAATGTCTCAGTTAACAAATATAGTCACTGGCACAAATTGGTCCGAAAAAGCTTCTCGTTACCTGTTACACAAACACTGATCCCTCAATCTATCCAAAGAGATGCTTTTGTGTAACAGGCAGGTGAACAGCACATTGAATCCAATTACTAAATACAGTCATTCGGAAAACAACATTTGTTTGCATGTTTTCTACCAAATGTAAGGTTTAAATATGGCGCCATCATTATAGAGGCGAGTTAAAACACATGCACATTCCAGTAATTGTCAGGTCATGTTGTTGACAAACAGGCTCATCCTCGCTTTAGATTGCTTGTGTGTAGTTTGATTTTATTGATTGTGGTCACACACATAGTCAAGCATGACACTTGGTGTGCTAGACCTTCTGTGCACCTGGTCCAGCAGAGATTATGTTGTTAACATCTCCACTGAGATAGCTTGAGATGCTACGGATCTGACAGTAAATTCAATTGGCCTGGAACTCAAAACCTGTCAATATAATCAGCAGTTGTTTGATTTCATTAAGGCCATTTCATCACAATGTTACAATAAATCATATTGCCAATCTGCCGGCGACAGGGGCACCATGCTTTAATCCCACATTCAGACAGCTTTCGTGGTGAGGTAATCTGACAAACAGGATAATCTGCTGCTGATGGTGGTCTTGTTACTATAGTAATCCTGTTTTTAGGAAAAGCTGCTAACCAGACTTACATGAGTTTAGATGCCAGAATGATGGATTGAGTGAGAGCCTGCTTGGGGCTCTGCCTGTATATTAAGGTTAAGGTCACAGATGAATAGCTATTCAGAAGTTCATGATGGCATAGCATAGACTGGCCGGCCTTTGACAGGGTATTTTTAGGTCTTGACTGTGACAGTGTGTGCTGAGCAGCTTGTTGTCATAACAGAAACAAAATGCCCTCATTAACACTGCACGAAAAACAAAGTCAACGAACATGACTTGAAGGCGTATCTGTTGTATTAACATGCATATCTCCAAATGAAAATATTGCTCACAGTGCCACCCATAGCAGAAGCAGGAACAGTCAGCAAATAATACATTTGTCTTAATGATTATTTAACTTGATGTCAAGTAATGTTTTTTTTTTTCTTCTTCCAAACAGGGTCCATCTTGTGATCATCACTTTTTCTCCCAACTCCCTTTTCCTGGTTTTGCTTTTAGTTTACATTTTTTTAATTTTTTTTATAATTTTGGTGAAGCGTTAAAAAGTTGCCATCCCGAAGCGGCAACCAGTTTTTTGATGGTCTGGGGTCAGTCTGTACCCACCGTCGGACACAAGCCTTGTAGGTTGATCAGATCACAGGAAGAAACATGAGTAAGGCCAGTGGGATAAAAGGGCCCAGCAAGATAGGGAGACCGCCTGGGACAGCGGCCCCTAAGACCAACCCCAGCTCAGGTAAGAGTCTTCACTTGGGCCATTGTTGGCAGACCTGTTTTAGCTCATGATACACTGATTGTAGTATCTTGTAGCTACAGAGTTTTTTTATGGGTTCATGCAGTTTTTTTGCTAGAAACCGGCAAAGAAGGTGGTCAATTTGATTGAATGAATAGAACTGCATATTAGACACACTCACTGTTTATTTTGATCTTTATCCTAACAGACATACAGCAGAGAATCTAATTTAGTGTTTGTTGATCACATTTTTCCAGGTTGCATTCAATCAAAACCGATGTGAGAGCATAACAACCATAACGTACCTTAGCTGCGTTTATATTCACCTGTTGTCATTTACGCAAAATACCTTTTGCAATGAACATCATATTGCATGTTTTGCACTCCATTTTTTACATTAGTCTCACAAGTCATTTGTTCTCTTTCTCTCTCATTATTCTTTAGCAGGATCTAAAGTTGCTGCAACCAACAAACCGGCTCCAGACGCCAGTGCAGAAGATGGTGCCGAGGAGAGCTTCCAGGTTGGAGAGCGAGTCTGGGTTAATGGGAATAAGTCAGGCCACATACAGTTTTTGGGAGAGGCTCAGTTTGCACCAGGGCAGTGGGCAGGGATTGTTCTGGATGAGGCAATTGGGAAGAATGATGGCTCAGTGGCAGGGGTGCGCTACTTCCAGTGTGATGCCCTGCGAGGGATATTTACCCGCCCATCCAAGTTGTCTCGCACAGAGGGGGAGGCTAATGGAACTCTGACGGCACCCCCCTCCCGCGCTTCTTCACCAACTCCTTCAGTTAGCAGCGTCGCCTCACATACACCTGCCACAAAATCAACATTACCCTCAACTACCACATCAACCAAGAAGACCTCCTCCACTACGCCAGCGACACCGGGGACACCGGTGACACCATCTAACCTCACACGCACAAACAGTGAATCTGTCTCCAACCTCTCTGAGACTGGATCCGTCAAGAAAGGGGAAAGAGAACTGAAGATGGGCGACAGAGTATTGGTAAAGTTTTAACTATTTCCTGATCTTTCATTTTCTACAATGGAGTAAAATGAATCCATAACACATGGTCCCTTCCACTTCACAACACATCGTCTATTCCACTTCAAATCAGTGGTCTATTCCACCTCCTGAGTCAAAAGAAGTACTGGTACTAACACTGATTGTAATGATGTACATTTCCATTCACATGTTCACATGTTGGCCTCATGCAGTTCAAAGCTGGTAAATGCTTGTTTCTGTCGCTTTGATAGGTTTATTTCACTCAGGATGTATTGCCCAGTAAAGCTGCTTGCTCTTTAGGCTTCTCTCATGTGTGAGATTAAATGTAGGCTAATGTTTAGTGTTTTTCTTCTCAGGTCGGTGGTACAAAGGCAGGGGTGGTACGTTTCCTTGGAGAAACCGATTTTGCCAAAGGCGAGTGGTGCGGTGTGGAATTGGATGAGCCCTTAGGAAAGAACGACGGGGCCGTGGCAGGCACAAGGTACAAAAACCACTGGATCTGTCAATAACTTAAAGAAAAGTTGTTATACTAGTTAACCACATGTTTACTAAGACTTCCATCAGCATGATTGTATTCCAATGTGTGTCCCTAGATATTTTCAGTGCCAACCGAAGTACGGCTTATTTGCTCCAGTCCACAAAGTCACACGCATCGGCTTCCCTTCCACCACGCCAGCCAAAGCAAAAACAACGGTTCGGAAAGTAGTGGCCACACCAACTGGGCTAAAGCGCAGCCCGAGTGCCTCCTCTATCAGTAGCATGAGCTCTGTGGCGTCCTCTGTCAGCGCCAAGCCCAGCCGCACAGGCCTGGTGAGACACGGACACACTCATCATCGTTTTATCAGTTTTTATAAGGCTGTGTTTTCTTCCCAGTCTGACGTTGCTTGTGTTATGTCCCTCCATAGCTAACAGAGACATCATCACGGTATAATCGTAAGATTTCCGGCACCACCGCCCTGCAGGAGGCGCTGAAGGAGAAGCAGCAGCACATCGAGCAGCTTATGAATGAAAGGGACACGGAGAGAGCTGAAGTCGCCAAGGCAACAGGCCACGCTGGAGAGATGGCGCAAGAAATGGGCCTGCTCAGGGACGATCAGGAGCAGGTCAGTTACCCCAGTGGTTCAGTAATAACTACCTGCATTAACTTTGGCCCAATCCCAAACCACGCCCTACACCCTACCCCTACACACTCCCCCTCCGTGACTGAGTGAACTCCGTGGAGTGACACTCGCAGCTCAACGAGGCTCCCTCCTGTCAGTTGGAGGGAGTAAATACAGCGGCAAGCTTTGGGACAAACTCCCCTCTCTCCGGCAGAAACAGGAAATGCCGTAACTGTATGTAACAACGGTATCAAATCAGCATCTCTTAGTCAAAACATTAACATTAATAACTCAAATAAAACTCCAAACATCTTTAATTGTGTTACTTTTTTGTAAAGCTCTTTTAGTTTTAAACCTGATTTTTATAAGCTTCTTAGTTTTTGCAACAGTCTGTAAATATACACAACTTTATAATAAAATGCACACATTTACCTTTTTCTAGACTAAACACAGGTATACGATCCTAAGTTAAAAAAATATGAGGTTATCATGAGGTTGTTAACATCGCAGTTTATCAGTGGATGTTTGCTGGAACTACTTGTTAACAGCGCGTTTCCTGACGGACACACACAGCGTTGAGACCGGTCAGGTAGAGACCGGTCTCCAGTCAGCACCGATGCAGACTCGCTGTTTGATGGCTTGATAGCCCACTCCCCCTCCACACTCGTTGGTTTGGAACAGCACTTAATGTGGCGGACCCTCCACGCGAACGGAGGGGTAGTGTGTAGGGCTAGTGTGTAGGGCTAGTGTGTAGGGCGTGGTTTGGGATTGGGCCCTACTGTTGACTCCTAATGACATGAGAAAAAGAGTTGCCTCATCACCTGTATTCATTTTGGTTTGTCTGTTCAAGATGGAGACCAAGATGGATCAGTTACGAGCCTTGGTAGAAGCTGCAGACAAAGACAAAGTGGATTTGCTGAATCAGCTGGAAGAGGAGCGAAGGTAAGGGTTGCCAGAAGTCTTACTATCACTCAATCATTCATTTTATAAATGTAGTTTGTTGAGAGAGGAAATGGCATCATAATGCAGTTATACTATTACAGTCTTATCATGTCCTGAGGAAAGATATGTGCCCGAGTTTGATTCACCCTTTTCGTAATCATTGCTTGTCTTTATTTTTCTGTCCAATAGAAAAGTGGAGGACCTTCAGTTCCGCGTGGAGGAAGCTTGCATTACCAAAGGAGACCTGGAGGTAATTGCACGACACGGACACACACCATGGCAACTAACACTTTTTATCGAATCCAATGTAATCATATTAAAACAGGACTGTAATGAAATTATTGGTATGTTAATTAAATACGAACTCAACATTTTTCTACTGATTTTAAAAGTTATATTAAGAACAATTGAGCAGGTGCTCTTATCACCCTGCATCCTGGTTCAAACTCAGGATATCATTTCAAAACTCGCTCTATAGCCATTACAATAAAGTGATCATTGTGTATACTGTATATCAGTGTGTCTCCATGGATACGACTAAAGGGTGCTTTCACATCTGTAGTTTCATTTGGTTCGAACCAAGGACAAAAGAAACAGATACCTTGCTGCATTTTAGCTCCCGTCCCGTTCATGTTCACACACCCTTTTACAGGTGAGTAAACATGGAGTTATACAGAATCCTTGATTAGACAGGTTTGGCGATCGTCATCCTGCAGAATCAGCACCAACATGGGGAAATCAGCACTTTATTGCTTCTGTTGTATAGATTAAAGATCTCCAGCAAAAATAACTGACTAAAGGGATTTTTGGAGCATATAATTAAAGTGCAAATCGGCAACATTTTATAAATATATCACATTTAGAGAGTGTAAGGATTCAGACCTAATGACTGTTAGGGCTGCTCAATTAATCGTATTTTAATCGCAATTACGATTTTGGCTTGCAACGATTATGAAAACAACATAATCTAAATAAAACGATTATTTTATTTTTTTAATTATTTTTTTTATTGGTTTTTCAGTTGAATTATACTTAAAGTTCAGGGTAATCAACTGTTAAAAACATACTGTTCACATTTTTTTTTTCAATAAATGGATGTTTTCAAAGTAAATGGATAATCGTTTTTAATAATCGTGATATCAATTATTGACCCAAATAATCGAGATTATGATTTTTGCCATAATCGAGCAGCCCTAATGACTGTGTGAAAGCACCCTAAGATTAAAAGGTACCTCTGATCACAGAACTCCAGTTGAGTCCTGACAGAGCATTTGCATTTCTTTATGTTAGCAGTCATACTCCTACTCTGCAGTCTCGGTAGGCGTGTTTGCGTGGAAATGTAATAAAAAAAGTATTATTATATTGTTCCAGGTAATTATCAAATCTAGTGTGATTGTTCCAAAAGAGCCTGTGATGTTAGTAGTATCATTTAAAACATAAGGCTCTGGTAAACCATTATCCTAATATTAGGTGAGTCATGTTTTCATCCCAAGTTATGTCCGGCAGGGTATTTGGGCTCAGTGCTACCTGTGTTCATATCTGATCAAAGGATTTGTTATTTATTCCACAGAGCTACACAGGGGACCATCTCATTTACCCTGAAGGCATCCAAGCTCAAAATAGATGTTTTAAATTGAGGGCTACAGGGTTAGAATATCTTCTTTTTAAACGTGTATACTAACAGTTTATTACTTACTCACAGCTGTGGATACATAGAACATGCGCATGAAGCTTGACAGACATCAACAAAAACTCCCAAATGCTTTGTTGACTTCAAGCTGTTAAAGGTGTACTAATGTTGTGCTATAACCCTCGGTGCCTCCCTGTTCAGTGATTTGATGTTATTGCTTCTTCTTCCTTCTCTTCCCCGTCTTTCATGTTGGTCCAGTGCTCAGCATGGAACCACTGGAGATGCTCCCTTGTCATTCCACTCCCCAGTCACAGACCTGAACTCTGTTTGCCCACTGCAATTTGATGGGAAATGCACTCAGCTTGAGAATACAAATGTAATTTTCATATAAACTTAGATGTGTCAGGCTACATTGAAGGTCTTAACTACGCTAACGACAATTTACATTCAAATTACTCAAAAGATGTACAGTGAGCCCTCAAATGTATTTTTCTTGTTTCCAAATCGAATCCTTATTGCTTTATTCATTACCTTTTGAGTTAGGTATATCAGTAATTTAGCCAGGCAGGTCTCTTTTGCCATATTGTGTCCATGGAAAACCCAATGTGTGACCTGGGATATGCTGTGGACACAACATTTAAAATTGAGGCTATTCCCCTTTTTTTTTTTTAAATGAAACTTTTAAGTTTAAGTGCATTGGGGAACATATAATACAGGGGTCGGCAACCCCTGGCGCACGTGGCACCGTAACCAGTGACACACTAGGAATAAGTGGAATAAATGTGCAAAATATTACATTTTGATTTTCGGATCCTGAACGAGACCGCCGCCACAGCGCGTCTCCCCGTTACCTGCAGAACGAAGCCATGCACGCAACGCAGCCCCACTTTCTTTAACTCCAGGCGACTTTCTGCCGCTTTCCTCCGTGGTGCAGTGCTGATCGTTTCACCGCAGAGGAAAGCACTTCACAAATTGCAGTACCCATAAGGAGCTTTACAAATGCCGCAGTTTTTGCGTGGCTGTGTCTTTAGTTGAAAGCCCAGTGGCGATCTGCTCATCTCTCATCAAAATAATATGCTACAAAGGGGCGGACCGGCCATCTGTGTGTTCTGGAGAATCACAGAACGGACGACCGTCCTTATTATTATGCCGTTTAAACCAATTATTTAAATTTGTTTGTTAAATTCGACATCATGTAAGTTGCGCTGACAGGTCCACACACTGCTTCCCCGCAGCGAGGCTCCCCCCGCCCTCCTGTTGACAGTTCACGAGCGTCGGCACGCTGATAACATTTTATTTTTTTAATGGCACTTCATATCAAAAAGGTTGCCGACCCCTGATATAATACAATAAGCCTTTATCAAGAAATGCTTCCTTAAGTTCCTTAAAAACTGTTATTCATAGCAAACAAAAGTCAAATGCGAATCATTTCTGTTTCTTGAGTCCAACAGCCTGAGCTTTTCAATACTGATTTATTTATTTTAATTTGGTCTCCAATCCAGCACATGGGGGTCTGATAACTGGTGGTTTCTTATACACTACTTACAATATGCATTGTGAACAATGGCCTTATCACCAAAGAGAGAAAGCAGTGTGGTTATTGAAAAGGCTTCATGCGTCACAAGATGACGAGTAGAAGATACAGATGCTATGGGGAGCTTTATATGCAGAAACACATCTTTATATTGATTTTGTATTAATAAATCAATATGACAATTCTACAACATTAGATCATGTCTGTGTACAGGGTTCAGGAAACAACCTGCACTGCTTTCTCCCCATGATGTGGTGAAGTCATTTTTAGGTGATTTACTTGGTGGCTTGACACAAATTATCCAGTTTTCTGTGTATCGTAACAATCAATGTGCTTTGTTCACCAGGTGTCAATTTTGCATGGTTACTTATAAACTGCCTCCATAAACATACTCATCCTGCACATCCATAACACATGGCCCCCTCTTTTGTCGCTTGTTTTGTATCTCACACCATTTTTTTTTTCTCAACATTCCCTGTGTGCAGCTGTTTATCGCACAGCCTGAAAGTTCTGCATGGGATGTCTCATTTTCACTCATCCATCACTTCCCACCCCCTCCCAATACCCTTTCCCCAATCCCCCAAATACTCGTACACAAAATACACACACACACATACACAACACACGCACACAATACACGCACAACCCCCCCTACCATTATCATTGTCTAAACCCCTCCATCCTCTCTCCTGTCTCCCTCCCTCTCTGTCTGCGTTGGGCTGGCATGTGATGGTGGCACTGGTGTGTTCTCTTCCTCTCCCCCTTGTTTACTAACAGACGCAGACCAGACTGGAGCATGCCCACATTAAGGAGCTTGAACAGAGCCTACTCTTTGAAAAGACCAAAGCTGAGAAACTCCAAAGAGAGTTAGAAGACAATAGGGTAATGAAAGCCGCTCTGCAGTGTGCTGCGTTGGAACAAAGTGCCGGGGATAGTGGCCAAAACATTTTCAAGGGATACCGAGAGGTGCTGGGCAGCAACTGGAGCTTTGCTTTGTATAAGCTTGTGGTGAATGGACCCCACAAATGCATTTTTCAGACTTTATATATAAGCAAAATAATACCCAAATAATCAGAACAATAAGTTTAAAAGTTTATATAAATGCTCAAATTGGTCTATCCAGTCTGGCATTACAGTGTGGCATTAGCTACAGAATTATTTACCCTTTTTTAAGTATTATACCTCGCATTTAAATCGATCCCCGCAAAATTATTTTACGTTTTAAGGTATAAAATGACAACTGTCAAAAAATTACCAGATGTAACTTTCAGCCCACTTTTACTTGAACCCTTTTTCCGATACGTAACCCAACCTGAACTCACTCTCGCTATACTGCTATCACTGCTTAACCAGACAGACAAACTTCTCCCTTGTCCTTGTCTAAGTTATCCTATAAAATATTTCCCCAGTCCTTCCCAGCATCCATTTGTCCTGCTTATTGGTGTCCCTGCGTTTTGATAGTCAGAAACCTGTTCCTACTCCCAGACTTTGCATCCTTGTGCTCCCCTGGGGTCTTATAGTCATAAGGGATGTCGAGAACAATATCTTTCTAGTTTCAGGGCCAATTATTAACCAAGCTATTAAATATTAAGCTTAAGCAGCAGAATTGATGCATATTTGGGAACATTATAATGAAATGCAGATTTGGAACATAGCTGGAATAAAGTGGAACATGTCAATGTTCCCAAAATGTTATTCTTAATTCATGTAAATCATGAGGTTAACATTAGCATTAATTCAGTGATATAGTGTTAGTGTAATAGATGGGGGGGAATTGTCTTACACACAGTTATAGCTCCATACATGCTTTCAGTGTTCACTTTCATTATTTGGACCATGGCCACAAGAGGTCAGTGTAACACATTGTTTACAGGATCTATGTTTGTCATGCCCTCCTCATTTAGCAAGCAAATTCAATTCTGTCAGACACATTTTATTATTACTAAGTGTGGCTATAATTGCAGTTAACCAGTCAGTTTTCGTTTGTTTAGTGACAGTTAAGTCTGATAAAGTCTAAGACCGATTTATGTTTGAATACCGTACTAAACTATGTAAGATACATCTTTGAAAATAAGATTGTTTTGTTCTTTAAGGTTGCTACTGTGTCAGAAAGATCCCGTATTATGGACCTTGAGAGGGACCTTTCACTACGAAGCCGAGAGGTAGCGGACCTGCAGCTGCGTCTCGGGTCCCAACAGGGCTCTGAAGACTCAAACTCTACCCTTTCTCCCCTTCTGGAAGAGATAAACTCTCTGAGGGATCAGCTGACTTCCCAAGAAACAAAGCAGAAAGAAGAACTAGCAAAGTACAAGGAGAAGTTAGAAGCCCAAGAAAAGAGCCACAGTGAGGCAGCCGCCCAGCTTCAGGCTGCGTCGGTCCGGCTCTCTGGTGAACACGAGCAGCTTCAGATGCGCTTAAGCCAGGCTGAGAAAGAGAACGCTGACAAAATTGATCTGTGGCGTTCCAAGTTTGAGTCTTCCATCGCCTCTCATCAGCAAGCCATGGACGAGCTAAAGGTATCTTTTAGCAAAGGTGCAGGGGCCCAGGCAGAAGAACTTATTGAAACCAAAAGTGCACTTGAAAGGCTGAAGGTAGAGCACCCGTTGGCTCTAGAGGAGGCTGGTGCCAAACATGAGGCCGATGCTGCAGCTTGGACTCGGAAGAAGCAGGCGCTGAAGACACAGCTGTCGTCTTTGATTGATGATAAGGAGCGACTGGAGGATTCTCTAGAGTCCAGCGTTGAAAGAGTAGAGGAGCAGCACCTGGTGGAGATGGAGGATGTTCTTGGAAAACTTCATGCAGGCGAACTTAGGGTGAAGGAGCTTGAGGATAAAGAAACCATGTTGGCACAACAGGCCCAAGACAAGGATAGAGAAACCAAAGAGCAGATGTCAGAAATAGTGGCTCTGCGCAGCCAAGTAGCACAAGGTAACCAGGAACTTGTCACCCTGAAGAGTCAAATAGAGCTGGTTCAGAACCAAGGGAACAGCCAGGATTCAAAGGTGGGTTCTAATTCATCTCCATTTTAATACTCCATGTTCAGTGTGTGTTATGTGAGCGAAGCAATCTCTGCATGTCCTTTGTCATTCATTTCTTTTTGGTGTGCATATTTCGTTGCGGTTTGCTTTTTCTCTATTACCAACTGTAATATTTACTTGACATGTGCTATAGGTTAGTGAATTGAGCTCACAGGTGGAGTGCCGACAGCAGGAAGTCCTCTCTTTAAAGCAGACTCTGACCACTGTACAGCAGGAGAAGGACGCCCTGGAACAGGAGCTTGGAGGCATGGTGAGTCTTATAGCTTAGTTATGGTAGAGTACCTTTTTTTGTCTCACTTGTCTTATTAGCTAAACCAGCAGCTGTATAGCTTGGTTGGCCAGTCCATAAAATACTACCCCACTCTAGAAGGGTGAAATTGAGATTGGAGGTCGAGTGTTGTGTGTGAATGCATGGTCGCAGCTATTATGGATACCGGGCTTGTTCGTGTTTAGTGTCCTTTTGATGAACAAACTATGTACATTTGTTTAATTTGTCTAAATCCACTAGTGCAAATCCTTGTTAGTTACCCAACAAATATACATTATACACATATATGCAATGAGCTATCATATCATCTGGTTCAATACATCACCTTTTCTCATCATTAAACTAATAATATAATAATTATAATGCTGGACAAACCACAAAACCTTTAACATTCCTGAAAATGTATAAATGAGGATATTCCAGAAACATCAAACACACAAATGTGATGCAGAATGTATTTCCCCCCCACAGAAACAAAAGATGGCTGACAGCACAGAGGAGCAGACTAAATCATCAAACTCTATGCAAGGTAAAATGTAAACTGTTTTTCCTCCTACCTTTTCTGTTAGTAATTTGCCTCTTCCTATTCATTAAGGCTTCTAGGATCTAACATGCAACAATTTTCCTCTTGCAGAAACACTTGAGAAGCTCAGTCAGAAGGAAGAGCAGTGCACTTCTCTGACCACCGAGTCAGAGTCTTTAAGAAGTCAGCTTTCCGGTGAGAACGTTTAAACTGCATGCACGTTAAACGGTTACTATGTAGTACGTTTTTTCTCCTTTCTGGTTGAAAATAACATTATAATCTATGAAACATCTTGTCTTATTCAGGCCTGGAGAGAAAGCTGAAGGCTGCAGATGAAAAGCGTGAGCAGCTTTCAAAGGACAAATGCAAGCTGGAAAATGATATTTCAGACATGATGAAGACATCTGGCGATAGTTCAGTACAGCTGACAAAAATGAATGAAGATCTCATGCAAAAAGAAAGGTACGACACTTCATTATTACCTTCTCCTGTATTACGTGATTACTACAAAAACATAAACCAATCGTATGTAAAAAAAACAATACATTTCTTGCTTTTGTGTCATTCCATGCCTCGTCTAATGTCCTCTGTTTTTGTCATCACTCAGGAGGCTTGAGGAGTTACAGAGTCAACTAACCGAGGAGAAGGAGAAGGTGGCACACTCAAATGAACAACTGCAGCAAGAACAGACCCGCAAAGAGCAGGAGCTGAAAGAGACCAGAGACGCACATCAGGCTCAAATGAGTAGCCTTCAGGACAACATTACTAACCTGGTTAGTATTGCGGGACAGTCACACAAAATGTGTTTGATTTTGAGAAGTAAATGTCACATACAAAAAATTGTAAATGAAAAAGTGGGTAAATATACTTTAATATACTACAAATAGCTTTTTATGTTTATTTAGAATTCATTTAGTCTATCATATGACCATATGATCTCTTGATTTCTAGTAGAAGACTGTTAGTTATTGATCTCTTGATTTCTAGGAGAAAACTGTTAGTTATTGTCTTTCTGATCTCTTGATTTCTAGGAGAAGAATGATAGTTATTGATCTCTTGATTTCTAGGAGACGACTGTTAGTTATTGTCTTTCTGATCTCTTGATTTCAAGGAGAAGACTGTTAGTTATTGTCTTTCTGATCTCTTGATTTCTAGGAGAAGAATGATAGTTATTGATCTCTTGATTTCTAGGAGAAGACTGTTATTTATTGTCTTTCTGATCTCTTGATTTCAAGGAGAAGACTGTTAGTTATTGTCTTTCTGATCTCTTGATTTCTAGGAGAAGACTGTTAGTTATTGTCTTTCTGATCTCTTGATTTCAAGGAGAAGACTGTTAGTTATTGTCTTTCTGATCTCTTGATTTCAAGGAGAAGACTGTTAGTTATTGTCTTTCTGATCTCTTGATTTTTAGGAGAAAACTGTTATTTATTGTCTTTCTGATCTCTTGATTTCAAGGAGAAGACTGTTAGTTATTGTCTTTCTGATCTCTTGATTTCTAGGAGAAAACTGTTAGTTATTGTCTTTCTGATCTCTTGATTTCTAGGAGAAGGCTGTAAAACAGAGTGAGACCTTAGTTGAGGAGCTAAAGGAGACGCAAGAGAAATCCTCCTCTCAGGCTTCAGAGCTCCATGCAAAGGACCTTGGGGTTCTTCAGAGTCAGGTAGACACGTTGAAGCAGGAGCTCTCCTCATCCAAGGACAAAACCAAAGAGCTGGAGAATTTGGTTTCTGAGTTGCAGACTTACAAAGAACAGGCTAAGGTAAGCAGAAACCTTCGAAGGTACAGACACTTCAGTTGAAACAAGATGTTTTCAATGTTCTATCAGTAACATGTAAAAATGTATTTGATGGATTATTGATTCTACTCATGATGATATTTAAAGTGGACCTATCATGCTATATTTGAATAATATAGTGTAGGACCATACCTATATAAGGCATATTTATACTTTTTTTTTTTCAAAATACCAAACAGATCATGCATTTTAGCCATGCCTCATTTTGCTCAATTTGAAAAATGTTAGCTCTGTTTTTGCAAGGGTTGATTCTGTGAGCAACAGCACCATCTAGAGGCCTGGCATATGTACTACAACGTCTCCAGCGCTTTCGAACGGCAATGCCGTGGTTGTCTCCTCCTGATTGGTGGAGTTGGCCCAATAGCCGTAGCGCCACTGTCCTGACGTCAGGACAGTGTTCAAATCTGGATCAGTTTGTATCAGATCCGTTGCAGCCCCTTTTTTAGAGATTTGGGTATGGAGGAAAATAGAGAGGGTTGTGTTTTCTGACACTTTGTGAGTTCCCTGGAACACCGGGGACACATATTCATGTATAAAAGACGTACAAAAGTGCATTTTGCATGATAGGTCCCCTTTAAAGATCATGACAAAAAACCTATCCTCTTTGTGAATGAAAAGTTGAAATTCAGTTTAAACACTAAAACAAATTAAACTAAGTGTTGCAACACATTTATGGGAGACAACATTTAACTGTGTAAGATTATTTGTCCTTGCTTTAACATCAATCATTAATAATGTATATTATCCCCAGCATTTTCACTCTTAAGTAACGTCATACAGTTCATTTGTGATGAGTTGCTAATCTCCCCAACATGAATGCTAATAACATATTTTTGCATACTCATCCCAGCTTTATATTTGATGGTGTCATTTGCTTTATGCTTGCAGGGGTACACCTGATTAAGATTACGTGAAGTTTAAGTCATTTTAAAAGTTATTGTTGTACAAATATTACACGGATTGTGTGCTAAATGTTCACGTTTAAACACTACTTACTATTTACATACTTAAGCTATTGATTTACATTTTCTCTTTCAAATTACAATAAGTGATTACCGATTTTGCTTTGTACCCCTGCTAGCATTTTGTTATTACCTGATATTTCATTTGGGTTGAACATTTTCACTGCCTAAGTTAGTTTTTTTTATGCCTTCTACTTTTTTGGCTTACACTATTTACCTGTTTTACCCTTATTTCATTTATAAAAAACATAAATACTTGTGGCAATGTGTATTTCTGTACTGTTATAAGTGATATAGAGAGGCGAAGTCCCGCCCTTCTACTTCCGACCCATGGGACCTTATTTCGGAAAAAGTATGTATTGAAGTCAATGGGGAGAGAAAACGTATCTTTCGATCCCGTGCCACGAATTACACATATGATGTTTGTCAATCTTAAAAAATAAGACTATGAAAAATACGCAACTAGAAAGACTACAAATCCCAGAATCCCGGTCCCGCATGCTGGCTCTTACGGAACCGCCTAACTCCCCTTGTGTGTATGTACAGCTCTCAACATGCCCAGACTTGGAGTGATTTTCACCTCTTTTAATACTTTTCGCCTCATTCTGAAAGAAAGAAGTGAAATGTGCCAACGTGACGGCCGTCTTGGTGTGTGGTGCGAGACGGGAGATGTAGTTAATTGAGCGGTTTCACACAAAAAAAAAAGTGTTACTTCACAGTTTTACGACGCATTTGTATTTTTGTGACTTGCAGAATTATCTTTTAAATTGACAAACATCATATGTGTAATTCGTGGCACAATTCAAACGGGATCGAAAGATAATCTTTCTCTCCCCATTGACTTCAATACATAATTTTTCCGAAATAAGGTCCCATGGAGGGACTTCGCCTCTCTATAAAAGATGCTGCAGGTGATGGTAGTATACACAGCAGGCACAATGTTTAAATGCCAGTTTATTTGATTACATCCATTTCATTAATACATTCTTAAAAGTAAGGGCTGAAGTGAAAATGTTCCACCTTCATATGGATGGAAGTCATTGTGGTGTAAGCTGTGGTGTTATCTTTGCCATTTGTATGCTTGTGCAGCATAACCTTTCCAATTGCAAATCACTTATGTCCATTTCAGCTTGGTTTATTTTGGATTCATCTTACTTTCCCCTATATATATATTCCCCTCCTTTTTTCCCCCAGTGTCTTTCTGCTGAGCTTGACTCCCACAAGCATGATGTTGAACAGTTGTCCAAAGATATGGAAAAGCAAAATCTAGATCTGGAAAATAGATGTAAGGAAAGTGAAGATGTTAAGGCGGAGAAAAGCAAACTGGAGAAACAGCTTTCAGATGTACAGACCAAGTTCTCTGCCCTTGAGATTAGTCACCAGGAGCTTTCAGTCCAGACTGAAGAACTGTTATTAACTGAGAAAAAGCTCTCAAAACATCAAGAGGAACTACTTGCCAACAACAAATCCTCAGCTGAAGAAAGGAATTCATTGAACACGGAGTTGAAGAAGCTTGAGCAAGAGAAGCAAACGTTTTGCCTTCAGAGTTCTGAAATTGAGATGTCTCTACATGTTGTACGAAAAGAAAACATGAGCCTGGATTCAGCATTAGAGCAGCAGAAAATGGATTATGAGCGTTTAGCGGGAGAGAAGGGAGAGTTGGAAAAGATGCACACTAAAACCCTATCTGAGAGTAATGCTCTTTCTCTAGAGCGTGATAAGCTAGCTAGTGAAATCCGAACAAATAGAAACCAGTTGGATAGTAACTCCAAAACTAATGATGCTGTTGTTCAAGAGAAGTCTCATCTAACAACAATGCTAGAGGAAGGCAAACGGCAAAAAGACCAAATTGAAGCAGAGATGAACTCATTGAAACGAGAAAAGGCTGACTTACAAAATGAGCTTCAGAAACACAACTCTGATATTGAAACTCTTAAAAATGGCAAAGCTGAACTTATTCAAGAGCACAGTAAACTAAAAACAGATTTTGAGAAGGCTAATTCTGAACTTGTTAAACAGGTTGATAACCTTTCTAAAGATAGTCAGGGTCTGAAGTCGTTGCAGGCTGACACCGACAACAAAGTGCAGTCCTTGCAGAACGAGAATCAGGGTCTGCTTCAAGAGATCCAAGAGTTAAAAAGTAAGATTGAATCGATATCAGGGGCCAAGCAACTTCTTGAGGCCCAGCTACAGACTGAGTCCGGTGAATGCAATAAAACTAAATCTGACAAGGAGGGTCTCTCCAAACAAATTGAGGAGCTGAAGAAAACATTGTCTAAGGTCACAGATGAAAATAAAGAGATTTCTTCTAACCTTAGGAATACTGATGAGCAAAACAAGTCTTTTGTCATGGACGCGAAGGCATTAAAAACGCAATTGAAGCAGCGAGAGCAAGAAACTAGTCAGTTGACAACAGATAAAGAACAGCTATCATCTAAGCTTGAGGATACAGGCAAACAGATGACCTCGCTGACCACAGAGAAGGAAGACCTTTTAGCTGCAAAGTGTCAATTGGAGCAGAACATTTCTTCTCTCAACACAAGCCAAGAAACCTTGCATGCAGAACGGTCAAAACTCCTCGGGGAGATGGAGAAGATGCACGCTAGCCAGAGACAACTAGAGATTGATGTCAAGGACCTAAAAACCAATAAAGAACTTTTGGATAAACAATACCAGAGTGCTGTCGCAGAGGTGTCTGCTTCCTCTGTTGTTAAAGAAGAGATTTCCTCAAGCATCTCAAATCTAGCGGCTCAGAAGGAGGCCCTGCAGGTGGAGAGAGATGAAGCCCAGCAGCAAGTCAGGCAGCTGGAATCCCAACTAAAAAATGCCATTTCTAAGCAGCTTGAGGTATTCCTCTTCCAGTAGTAATCACTGACGTGTATAGATTAGAGTGGCTGGGGCACCTTCTCACTGCATGCTTGCTGGTTTGTCTGCCTTTCCACTTCCCTTTTATCTTCATGTCTAACTTTCACCTTCCATGTACTAACTGCTGTGAACTACCCTCGGCTCCCAGCCTTTGCCTGTGGGCTTATAACGTGATGAGGCAATTATAATGTTAAAATCAACTGACCATATAAGGCTAAGCTGATCTTTGTCACACTCATCATATGGTGGTGTTTCATATTTAATTTTGTAACCGATGTAAATAGACTGACTTACCTACTAATAGACTTTCCGAACATAGTTTTTTAATAATTATAGCCACAATAATCTGATTTACAATGCCCTTCTGTTAAAATGTTAAAGGTGGGGTAGGTAATTCACTTCAGAAACACTTTTTGTTATATTCCATGGAATGCTCTTAACATCCCGATAGCAATGAATATATTAAATGCTTTGACAATAAATACATTAAAAAAATGTCATCTGTGGAAGCCGTAGTACTGTAAAAAGCACGACCAATCATCTGAGCCGGCCCGGCTAAAATAACTGGATGGCCTACCTGCCTGTCAGCCTTCCATCTCGTGCACAAACTTATCTCGTGCCCTCATTGGTCATGTGCGCGTCCGTGTGTGTTGGAGGAGGGGCTCTGTAAGGAAGTCTGAAGGAAGGGGCAGATTTTTGTCGGCTGCGTACTTTCAAATTCTAGCGCACTCGAGCTGGTTTCTCCATTCTTACCTACCCTACCTTTAAGTATTTGGGCTTGCAACATCTTTTTGGACAGAAATAATGAAATATCTTAATATAAAGTAGGTTTCGGAAGGACAACTTGCTTTCTTAAATAATTGTCAGTATCTGTTCTGAGCCCACAGGCTGTTAAGCTTTAGAGTATTTACTAATTATTTGACTCCTTAGTGTAGTGTTCATGTTGTTAATTCTCGACTAGAATCTACTGCGAAATTGCAATGAACTGAGATTTTGAACTGATTCTAAATCTGCAATTAAGATGAGTAACTCATTAGGCATGCAATTAATTTATGAAGTAATATAAAAATCATTGGTTGATGTCTAGCAATGCATTATGAATAGTTTTATCAAATGACCTGCAATGTTTTAATTTGGGTTGGTTGAGGTAATCAGATGTTGATCTCAACCAGCCATATGCTGCTCCTAATTTAAAACCTTTCTAAGCAAATATCCTGCTCGTGCACTATTTAGGCTACAGAGGTCTCTGGCACGACCGCTGAGGCTCTGGAACAGCTGACAAAAGAGAAAGCCACTTTGATGCAGGAGAAGAATGAAGCTCAATCTTTGCTCGAGGAGCTCCGAGGCTCCACGCAGAAGACGCAGACACAGGTGAGAGACGCTAACGTAAACTCTCAGAGGTGAAGCGGCTCTTCTTATCCTGTTGACCTCAGTGTTTTCTACAAATATGTGTGTTGTTCATTTTTGTTTCAGCTGAAAACATTGAAGAAAAACAATTCCAAGTATCAAGATGACCTGAATGTATCCAAAGAGCAGCTTTGCATAGAAACTCAGAGGACTGAGAGTCTGTGTAAGGAAATGTGAGTATATTTAAATTCAAGATTCAAGGCTTGTATTGTCATTCGTACATAGCTACAGTGTAGTTATGACATGAACATCTTAGGTCCCAGGCTCCTCCAACAGTGCAACACAGATAACATAGTGCAAGTAAATACAATCAAATAGAAGTAGTGCAATAAGAGTCTAAATACAAGTGTAAGTTGCAAACAGGTGAATGTTATGGATGTTCTTAGTTCAGGTGTTTACCAGTCTTGGCTGCTTGTAACAGATATCTTTTAGACTTCAATATGAATTGTATTATATAATTGGTGGGCTACAGTAAATAGCTATGGAGAAGAACTTCCTACAAACTAATGTTGTTTATGTTGTACGGTTTTTATCGAAGTTGTAAGATGAACTTAACATTTGTTATCATTTAGAGAGGAGCTCAAAGAAGCAGATTCTGCAAAGACGCAGAAGCTGCAAGATGAGAAGAACAAGCTGAATCAGGAGCTCGAAAACAATCAGAATCACCAGAGTGATCTTGAAAAGGTGAAACAATTAAAAAAATACTCGCATAAACCTTCAAGCATTAAACATCATGTTTTTAGATATTGATCTGTTGACCATGATTCGATTTTTAACACGTGTTCTTTCTCTTAGCTCAAGGATGAAAACTCAAAACTCAAAAAGCAGTTGAAGCAAAGGTAAGTCAATCCATCATTTTTTTTATTCGAGCAGTTGCACAGATCTTTGCAAATTCACAAATAATTTATAAGCATGTTTCAATAAACACTTATATGCATGTACATGAATTATTAAGCAAAAGCTATCTCATGCTGTTTTGTTCTTCTTCAAAGCCTGCCAAATAATGCTTACAGGTATTTAAAGCCTTAATTATTTTGTAATGTTGATCATCATCGTGTATTACATACTGTATATCGACCACATATGAAGCCATATCATTCGAAATAAGCAACAAGCAAGGTATGGTCACATTACATTTCCGTTGAATGGCTTTTCCCCAAAAATGATGTGATAGCTGCTTTAAGTTGGAATGGAGGGACTGCACACACATACACACACACACACACACACACACACACACACACTAGGGCTGTGCAATTAATCGTATTTTAATCGCAATTACGATTTTGGCCTGCCACGATTACGAAAACAACATCGAAAAAAACTATTATTTTGCTTTGCTAGGTTTGATCTAATTTATTTGTATTTATCATATTTATATATGTTTAGTAGCTTGTGGAAGTGCGCTCCAAAATATTTGTTGATCTTGTTTATTGGTATTTATTATTTTGATATTATTTATTTAAATGTAAATATAAATGTATAATTTTTTTATTTATTTTTTTATTGGTTTTTCAGTTGAATTATACGTTCAGGGTAATCAACAGTTAAAAAGATACTGTTCAAATTATTATTTGTATTTGTTTTAAAGTTAAACAAATGGATGTTTTCAAAGTCAATGAAGAATCGTATTTAATAATCGTGATATCAATTATTGACCAAAATAATCGTGATTATGATTTTTGCCATAATCGAGCAGCCCACACACACACACACACACACACACACACACACACACACACACAGATTTTCTTATGACAACATTCTTGTTTTTTGTGTGAAACAAAAAAGTTGACGAAGGAGGAGCGGGCTTGAAATCACGCTACAACAGGAACCAATTATAATTTTTTTGCCGTTGTCCTCTGAATCTCCAACCTAAGTTTACCAAATATTTTAACCAAACTGCCAATTTTCGGTTTTTGAGTTCCCTGTATGTCTTCTCAAATATCTGAAAGTTGCAAAAAACTGAGCTTTATCGTTGAAAATCTGTTGGGGCAAGTTTTTCTCTGCCTTGAGGGATTGTGTACTGCACCTCTGAGATATATGTTGGTATTGTGTCTCTGATAGTGAGAGCACCTCGAAGGACCAGCATGAAAAGGAGAAGGCTACCCTCCAGAAGTCCATCAATAAAAACAGTGCCTTAATTTCGGAAAAGGACCAGCAGGTGGAAACCCTGAAGAGCGAGGTGAGAATCTAATGCATTTTTGGTTTAGCAGAACATTGATGTAACTTTTGAGTTTGCACAAAATGTATTCAAGCAAGTCCAGATTTGAGAGTGTGCACGGAAAGAACGGCGACTTAGTGAGAAAAAGGCACAGTAGCCGATGCGGAAACTATCGACGCATTTCTTCTTGCCGGTTCAAAACACTTGAATTTATGGGTTTTGTGTCTTAAGATCTCGAATAGCGGATTAATTGCTCAAATTGAACTTTTGCTTGTATTAGTGTTGTAATTCAAATAACTTTTTATCTTCAAATGATGTTTTAATAGAAGCCCTGCAATTAACATTTTTCATTATCAATGAATTGAATGATTATGTTCTTAAATTGATCACATTTTCTTTAAAGGTGGGGTAGGTAAGTTTGAGAAACCGGCTCGAGATACACTTTTTGTTATATTCCATGGAATGCTCTTAACATCCCGATAGCAATGAATATCTTAAGTGCTTTGACAAAAAATTCATAAAAGAATGTCATCTGTGGAAGCCGTAGTACTGTAAAAAGCACGACCAATCATTTTAGCCGGCCGGCTAAAGTAACTGGATGGCCTACCTGCCTGTCAGCCTTCCAACTGTGCACAAACTTATCTCGTGCCCTCATTGGTCATGTGCGCGTTCGTGTGTGTTGGAGGAGGGGCTCTGTAAGGAAGTGGCAGATTTTCTCCAGTTGTGTATTTTCAAATTCTAGCGATCTCGAGCCGGTTTCTCAAACTTACCTACCCCACCTTTAATGAATGACCTGTTATCAAGATAGTTGCCAATTATTCTCCAGCTGTTTAACTAAACATTGCAGCTCTATTTAATTATTTCAATATTGAAAAAAAGCGTTGATTGTTCTCTTCACAGCTGGGCGCACTGCGTGGGGAAAGTGCCTCGGTTAAGACTCTCCAGGGGACGATTGAGGCCTTGGAGCGGGACAAGACTAAGTTACAGGATCGAGTTCAAAGACTGGAGAAGGACCGGGCGGCAGGTCCTGAAAGCATCAACAGGTCCTCAGGTAAGAAGGGGCTTAATCCACCACCACTGCTAATACTTTAGAGCAGGGGTGTCCAAACTAAGGCCCGGGGGCCAAATGAGGCCTGCGAACCATTTTGAATCGGCCCTCAGCAAATTAAAAAAGTATAATGGGATATGGCCCACAAATGAAACGTGTGCTTTTCTTATATTGTACTTCTTAAATATAAATCAGGGTGTCCGCGGGGTCTTAAAAAGTATTCAAAGTTGATAAATCAATTTAGCGAAAATTAAGGCTATTAAAAAGTATTAAACGGCATTTTCCAAGGTATTACATTTTGTAGCTTGTTTTCAATAAGTATATGAATTGTCCAAAGAGGTTGTATTCTACAGTCTGCCTGAATGTAATCATTGCGTAGGTGTGTAGTGTGATTCTGTGTAGTTTATTTATGGCATCCCGTTGGATTTGACGTCATCTGAACAGGACATCGCACGCTCACTGCTTGATAGCGCGCGAAGGTCCGTTTACGCCGGTTGTTAAACAACATCGTTATGGGGAAATGCAAGTTTGCGTCCAAATGGTTGGAAGATAAGGAGAAAGGACAATCAATACTGTATATAGTAAATGTGAGGTAAAATGTGTCGCCAATGTAACCGGTTAGAACTCAAAGTGGCGATGAGGTCTTAAAATGTATGGAAAGGGTCTTAAAAAAGGTCTTAAAAGGTATTACATTTGACTTCAGGATTCCTGCATATACCCTGTAAATGTAAAAATATATGACACCGTAGTATTCATGTGTTAATAAGACCACCTTTTAAATCAATTCAGTCAATTAAAGTTGGAAACATTTTCTAACATATCTTAGTTGATAAGAAAAAGCCTAATAACTTATTTACATAACAAGCTTGAAATACACCCTTCCTATTTCTCCTTATTATAATCACTCTGAGCTTCTGTTTGAAGGGATGAGCTGCTAACACTCACAAGCATCATTGACCTACATTTGATTGATTTTGCTAACTTATAACTGAACTAATGAGGCGATATACCTCTAGTGAGTGGCCCAGGTCTTCGTATATTTTTCTGTATGTGGCCCTCGGTGAAAAAAGTTTGGACACCCCTGCTCTAGAGGTAAGTTCTGTGTGAAGGGACCCCAATGAAAGAAAATATTCTACTCGTGTTTTTCTTCTATCTTCCAGGTGATGAAGTTTTGGAGCAACTAAGGGACGAAAAGCAGAACGCAGAGGTGTGTGTCCTTTTTATCTCCTCCTGGATAATACTAATCCTAGGTCTGGATGGGTTGACGTTTTTTTGCCATTCATACATTTAGTGTGAAGATGCTTCCTTACCCCAACATTTTTTTGACAAATATTCAACCTCATTTACATTTTTCATCACATTTGGGGCAGTCGTACGGACACAGTCTCACTGAATGCAGTTTGTGAAATGACTGTGCTGCTTTCTCAGACATTTACTAACAAAAACGACGTCTGATGTAGCAGTAGACTCTGAATTGTACATTGTGTTGTTTACTCGTTACAGTATAATGTTTTACAGAGGTGAATGGAAATTCAAAGCGTACTGATGACAGCCTGTCTCTCTCCTCCTCAATCACTTCTCATTTCCTGCCTCTGTTTACTTAAATGTTATACTGTATTATCTGTGTCAGTGATGACTTGAGTGTGTTGTCAGGCAGAAGGTTGGTCCTAATTTGAATCTCAACATTTTTTTATTCTCCTTTTCTTTCTTAAACTCCGATTCCTCTCCTCTGCCCTGTCTCTGATGTTGGCAATGCTACAACACCATCAGGCAGCGGTTTGTTCATGTTTTCATCAGCTTCACTTGTGCATGTCTGTCTGTCTCTGTCACCGTGGCGTCCAGTGGATCACATCTTAGTCTGTGTTAAAACTACAAACGGTCGTACGAAGATAGTTCAAGCTTGATGAACTAAAACCTTTAGCGTTCAATAAATGCGCTGCTTAAATATTCCTATATAGACAACTACAGCCATCATAGCAGATCAGATCTGTTAAAGGGACAGTTCACCCCTTTCACCTGTAGTGCTAGTATATAGAAATGTAATTATTAGGATAAACCCCTTGAGAGCTAGTCATCAATTTAGTGTTGAGTGTTTGAGAGATAGCGAATAGCATCGGATATCTCCAATGAAATGGAACACTCTGCTTGTGGTGCTCGAAGCCCTAAACAAAAACAAAAATGCAACAGAAAGCATGACCCATTACTTTAAGATAATCCATGGGTCCTTGTTGTGTGCAATTTTACAGAGGAACTATTTTCTTTCTTTTCTACGCTGCCAACTGTATCACAGCACAGTGATGCGTGCATCTACTCCTGGACGAGAGCCTGGATCAGCTGTTGATTATTTTTGATTTAATGGGTCAAGCTTTCTCAAAAGACATTTCAAATTTAGGGTTAACTAAAAGTTGACTCTTACTTAGTAATACACTTCTCATAAGCGGGTATTTTACTAACTTTCCTCATTCCAAGCTTGAGTTTCTTCTTCGGCTGACGACTCACAGTCACAATTCACTATTATAACTTAGATAAGATTCATTGTTTTGGAATATGGCAGGGCATAGTTACTGTTGTATAATCTAAATAGTGTTTTTATAGAATCAAGGCAACATTTTGGCACATAAATCAAAGTTTAAATGTCACAGGGTGTTATACATACTGTAATAGATCATAGATGATCATTCAGCAGCAGCACTGATGCGAATACTGTGTTTCCCCTTTTCAGATCGAGTTCCTGAATTCAGTCATCGTTGACCTCCAGAAGAAGAATAAGGAACAGAAGGCAGACTTGGAGACAATGGCTGCTGCTGCTCTGAATGGAAATAATCCAAGTGAGCTGGATAACTATGATGAGTAAGTAAATAAATATATTGCTCCTGATGGCCAAAGATGTGTGTCTGACTTGTTTATGTAGCGGCAATACAACTCATTCTGTAACTCATTTTCAACTTGTTTTTTTGCAGCCACGATAATCAACCCACAAAGAAGAAGCTTCCTCCAAGACTTTTCTGTGACATCTGCGACTGCTTCGACCTCCATGACACCGAGGACTGTCCCACACAGATGCAGATGCCCGACTCTCCTCCACACACCGTCTACCACGGCGCTAAGGGCGAGGATCGGCCCTACTGCAACATCTGCGAGGTCTTTGGCCACTGGACCGAATCCTGTAACGATGACCAGACCTTTTAAGCCTTTTTTTCCCACCCTCGTTTCCCACAATCAGTACATTTGCACATAATGTTACATTTACGCTGTGCTTTATGGGTTTGGGTTTGTACGTGTGCATTTGTGTGCTTGATTTTGCAAAGCATATCTGTTGTCCTTAAGCGCTCTTATGGGAAAACGTCCTCCTCAGAATCCCTTCATACAAAAAAACCTTCAGAGATAATAATTTACAGCGGTTAACTGTTTGTATCTGTAAAACATTTTGATATCCTGGGCGTGTGTGAGTGAGAAGATGATGCGGGGGATGTTTCATGGTGGGAGAAGCGATGATCTTCTCATCATTTAATTTATCAATATCCTAACATTGTTTGCACAGCTTGTTGGGGGCTACAAGATAATATAGTATCATAAGAGGTGTTTATTTGAAACTGTAAATTACTTGATTGAAAAAATATCAGTTTGCGCAAAAACATTGGTGAGCTATAGTTTATTTTTTTATGCCTGGAAATATGATGTACTCTTTAAAGGTTAAATAGTATGTGTGTAGTTTGGTGAAAGGTGATCACAGGGAGAAACTTTCTCTGTCTTCCTGGAGTGCAGCGGAGAAACCCAGTGCTGTTTGGCTTTAATGGGAACATTTTGTATGGTCTTCATGAAGGAACTGATGGACGATTTCTTGAAAAGAAGCAGTGAAAGCACTTCAAACTCAGTTCCCGTGAAATGCCCTTTCCAAAAGGTTTCTTTGCAATTAAAAGAGCATTTCTCTACGAAACAATAAATACTTTGGTATTTCTTTTCAAATGTTTTGAATATCTGTATTAAAAATAAATAAATGTATAAATTAAATATTGAACTTTTGTTTTGATTGTTACATTGAAAGCGCAGTCACTGTTTACGACTTCACACAGTTTCAGATTGCACTTCAAGTACAGATCCATCAGTGTGTTGCATTGCTCACTTGATCAATCAACATTTATTTATATAGCCCAATATCACACATTTTAAAATGTTCTCAGGGGGCTTTAAAGGTATTACAGAATATTAATATGAATACAACACCCTCTGTCCTTATGCGCTCACATCGGAAAAGGAAAAACTCCCAGAGAAACCTCAGTTAATGGGTCAAAATGGAGAAAACCCTTAATAATAATAAATTACATTTGTATAGCGCCTTTCAAGGTGAACAAACAAACGGGGCAAATAAAGGAAAAAATACCTTGGCAAAAAAACCGAGGAGGGATCCTTCTCCCAGGACAGAGACGTGCTATAGATGTGTAACTTCCCAATGCTAGTAAAAAAATCCAGGTATAAATAGCGTCATATTGATTTGGTTTAAGAGTTCTGAATGGATTACTGTGTGTATGTTTTTCTTCTATAAAACAAGCAAAAACCCGTGACCATGGCTAAAACAGACCGAAGAAACATAGATGATGGATGGACAGCTTTAAAGTTGAGAAGCTGAAAGAGACCGTCCACGTTGTGACTGATGAACACCCCCTCCAGCAGAGGGCGACAGGTTACGCGCTCTCACAGTTTAGTCCTTCCTGAGTTGCCGTACCCCGGGTTACTTGTTACTACAGCTTGCTACGTTGTTTACAAAATTCCGTGAACCATTTTTCTGACAGTGCTGAATTCCCCTCGTTTTATGCATCAGTCGGGTCTCGCAGGTCTCTCCGGCCTGTGCCGAGTCACCGACCACCTGTACCTCAGTAATGGCCGAGCCGCCAACGACTCCTCCCAGGTGATTCGGTGCAACATCACTTGCATCGTGAACGTGACGGAGACGAAGAGCCGCTGTCCTCTGCACCGCGGGGTGGAGTACATCCACATCCCACTGCCCGACTCCCCGGCCTCTGCTCTGGGGGAACACTTCGACGATGTGTCGGATAAGATCCAGCTGACTGCGGAGCTCGGTGGCCGGACTCTGGTGCACTGCAACGCCGGGGTGAGCCGCTCCGCCTCGCTGTGCATGGCCTATCTGATGAAGCACCGCGGGGAGTCTCTGCGGGGGGCCCACAGCTGGGTGAGGAGCTGCCGCCCGGTGGTGAGGCCCAACAACGGCTTCTGGAAACAGCTCATCCGCTATGAGATGGAGCTCCGTGGGTGCGCCTCTGTCCGGATGATCTGCACCTCCATGGGAGAGGTACCAGACATTTATGAAGAGGAGGCCAGGAACATGATGCCACTGCGATGATGAAGCCTCTTTATTGTAACAACGAAGGAATGCATGAGAAATAATATTCCGTATCGTGTTTCGCATATACAAGGAACTGCTGTTTGTATAAAGGCTTAAAATGTACTCCTTTTATTATGGAGTCCAATACATTCCAAGGGTAAATATTGTACTCTTTACTAGTTATTCAGCAGCTATAGTAACTTATTTTAGATGAAGATGTATGCCCACATAAAAGGTTTAATATATTATGAAATACATGCATCCCATGCTTTTCAGGTTTGGCCAGTATTTAGTTTGGGCCCCTTTTGTCGTATTTGTTGTTAAAAGTTCCACCAAATAGGGATTTCAACTACATTTTCCAGATAATTTCACAGGGGTAAAACTATCAAACATTTGATAGTTTGTTTCCTTTTTCCTGTTAAACGTCTGACCAGTTATATTTATTGTGACCCCAGATGTGTCCTCTGACCCCCAGGTTGGGAACTCCGGAAATAAATTATTAAACGAAAGTACTCTAAGTGAAATGCTTCTTAAGAATTGTGTCATTATAAACTATTATAGTATTAATGTTGATCAGCTACAGTTGACATTACTACATAAGTGCTATTGTGTTTGTATTTTTTTTAATAATGTTTTGTATGTTTTTTAAACATTTTACTAAAGGATCTGATTGTTTTTCAGCACTGGCTGAACGTGATTCGACAGGCACTGAATCACGAAAGCAGGTGACAGTAAAAGCAGTCAAGGAATCCAATTCATTGAGGCTATAAAGTACAAAAAGCTTTTATTTTCGAATCAAAAACACATCTCAATCGATTAATTGGACGCAAAATGTTGCAATAAACACTTGATTGACAACATGATGTTTTCATATGGACAGCAAGGCCTAACAAACTGAAATAAATACCTATTCATGTAGCTAATATGTTCATTAAACATCTTGAAAACATGCCGTTTCATGCTTACTGCCAGACTAGGATGAATCAATTATGTTTTTTCTAAACACATTTTTACTCATGAAAAGAGCTAATTAATTAAAAGATGTTGCGTTTTTCTTTGCAAATGTAACAATAAAAAAATATATTTTGGGACATCATATGGACTTTGATTCTTCCAAGAAACAATTAGATTAGATTTTTCTTCCTTTTTCCAGATAGCATTTTTTAAATAAATGATAACCCTCAACCGGTACAAATATAGTCTTAAGTTAGGAAACAGGCACAACAAAAGAACCCCACATTGAATCACAGTAAATTAGTTCACAATTTGGCACAAGACACTCACACACACACACACACACACACATCTACCCTAACGGAACAATTTTATCTAATGCAATAGTGGTCTACTATCCCCAGACACGTGTATTCCAATAGCACACTCAAAGCAATGAATCACCTGTCCACAGTTCCTCTTTCAAAACTGTTTTAAAGGTTACAACATATCAGGCTACAGTTTCATGCAAAGCAACGAGTGTAACAGGTAAGACATATTCATCAAAAGAGGAAGCTACAGAACCAGACAGACAGCTTCCAGCAATGCAAGTTATGCATGTTTTCATTGCGGATCAATTAAGAGGCAAACTCAGCCCTGACAGCAGTCAACACAATATTCCTTTATCTTAGGAGCTGGTTAAACCTTTTGGGAGATATGATAGTTCCCTTTCTAGCTAAAAGTTAGATGAAAAGAGTGAAAGTGAGCTTTAAAAAGCTACTAGAGAGTGGTATTGTATTACTTTTGACAGAGCCATGCTGTCTGTTTTTCTGTTTCCAGTACGTATGCTATGCTAATCTAACCTTTTGCCATATTTACTGGAAATGTTTTAGAGTGGTATTGATCTTCTTACATAACTCTTAGCAAGAAAGCAAAGTACAGCCTTTCCAAAATGGACTGCTTCAAGCACAGACTGAATAAGTATCAAACGTTAGGCAGTTCAAGTGGGAGAGCATTGTTATTGTCCAAGCATCTCACTTGGAAAGTAAAGGTTACATTCAACTAAAACTCTTGTTATATTTTCTCAGAGACATTTAACCTCAAATAAATTGTACACGGACAGTAATTTACAAATGGCTTATTTAGTGCACAGTGCAGTAATGCACTGTACATACACATCTGGAATCCAAACAGATAATAATGTTGTCTGCTACCTAAATATCCTGAGTCCGAACCTTAGTCAGGTCAAATGACAACATCGCTTTTAAAGTGGAATAATGACACAAGTGCAATAACAGCATGCTTATTTTACCTTCACTGCATCTCACTAATTCCCTCGATAAGGCAACAGTTTCATCTGCATAGTCACGTGATAAGCATCTATTGGTATAGAATAAAATAATGTCAATTTATCCAAAGGTGGAGTCGACGCAGAGAGAACCAGGAAAATATATAACGCCAGTATCCATTCACCCTCTTACACACACCCCTAGTTTTTTTCAGCAGCTCAAGGCAATGGCTTCCAGATCATGACTTAAGATTACATCTGAAAGAAAATGGAGAGAATTCATTGATATGGTATTTTTAATTGAAAAAGAGAGGGAGTGTATCTTCATATCAACAACTTACATTCTGGTCCAGCTTCTGGTAGTCTCCGGATTTAGGTCGACGAGCAGATCTGTATTTCTTTCCTTCCAAAAGAAAGGCAAAGATCTAAGGGGAAGAAAAGAGATATTGGCAAGTTTTCCACTGAATGGTTGAAGCTTTACATACAAGACAAAGCTTGATATTATTAACCGAGGCATCGCAGAGGAGAGATCGCTCTCTGTATCAAAAGAAATCAAGCACTTTTCCTAAAATATCAAACTATCCCTTTAAGATTGTTCCTCTCAGCTGTAGTGCTTGTTTGGGCCCAGAAATGAATCTGCAAGTCACAAGCTGACCACATGTACCACATATTTAGTCACAAAATAATACAAGACTGTTAGTCTAATCCAAATGTACTTTTAAATAGACCAGCAAATATTTCCCCGTGTTAAACGATGACCCACTTAATCCATTGCATATAATGGAGACCTGACCTGAGTGTGAAACAAATGCAAAAGATATAGCTAAGCCGCTTCTGTGTTTCAAAGAATTCCCTTTCTGTCTACGTTACACAGACTGAAATGGTTGACACACAATCTGGGCCAGTGGAAACAGGAAGTATGCTTCAAAGATGTGGGAGTGTGAGCTTAAACCCAGGTACCTTCCGTTTGTTGTGGTAGGTGATGTAAAGCCCTGCCACGAGCACAGCTGTACAGACAAGGTAGGCAAAGAAATGACTGCTCTCCGCTACATCCTTGATATCAGATTGATCATACGGGGTTTTCTCTTCCATTTGTTTCTTATTTGCGCCGTCTAATGATTCATTCGCATTGCCTTTGTCTCCTGGCTTGTTGTTCTTGGTGTTATCTACTTCTCCCTTGGATAACAGGTCAAGATTGCCAGCGTCATCTTCATTTTTTGTAGGTTCTCCTTTCACGGATATTGTTGTGGTTGCAGGCTTAACAGTGGGTGGTGTCTCATTTTTCTTCTCTTTTCCAGGGTCCTGGCTATTCTCATCGGTCACTTTCTTGCTGTTTTTCTCATCGTCGCTTTCCTCACTTGCCGTTTTTGTGGTTTCTACTGGTTTCTTCACGTTGTCATCTTGTCCTTTCTTGTCAGAATCCCCCTCAGCCTGTTTGGTTTCGTTAGACGGTTTGGCCACATCTGACACTTTTTCCACTTCTGGCTTTACTGTGAGTTTTGCTTCATTTTCTTCTGGTTTTCTTCTGACACTACCTGTATCTTCAATTACAGTAAAAGCAGCTACGTTTGGGGTTTTCTCTACTGAAGTGGGTCCTGTTGCTGTATCTACTGGCACACCTGTAAATAAGCACAAAACAAAACACAATCAGAGATTTAAGCAGAAGAACACACAGGATGGGGACAATAACAGAAATATCAGAAATTCAATTGCCATCTATTAATAAATGCTAGAAATGCTGCCATTGTTTATCCCTCAATTAGACCTCGATACATCTGCTCTTTTCTCCATTACCTTAGATCTTTGTTTCCCTTTGGTGTTATAGCGGCCAAAATCATAAAGAAATAAACCAGAAATCTAACTCAAATAAAACCGCTGCCGAGGCACCACTTAGAGGATCTTACGCAGGGTTCAATGATCCAGACCAGTATCCATTTCCACTACTAGTATGTTCTGTGTCACCTTTTTGGTAAGGTCCTTTGTTTTTATATAGGCCAAGAAGATTTCATTAGATGATTAGATTATATGAAGTTAAAAAGGCTAAGTAAAAGGGCTAGAACATCGAGGTGGAAGAAAAAAACGCCCACACTAAAAGACGAAAGAAGAAAGAAAGAACTAGTTTGGTGTACAGACAAAACCAAAATAAATGTAAATAACAGTCATTATTATTTATAGGACTTTTCCTTTTCCATATCTGAGGTAATTCCTCAAACAATGTAAGATAAGATTGACTTTATTGATCCCAAATTCGGACATGTTTCCGTCACAGCAGCATTTTAAAACAAGGCATTGCCCGTAATGGGAAAATAAAAAGAGTAGGAAATAAACAAACATTTAGTATAAACATCGCAAAAATAAAAAACACTATGGTGGCCAAATTACAGCTAACAAAATTGAAAAGTAAGATATTATTTACATTAAATATGAATGTAATATGTACAGTATACATTTTACATTTATATTTAAATAAATGTTAAAACGTTAAGACGTTTTAATTTGGACACCATCTTACTTTCAAATAGTAACATTTCTAACATTTTTAAAAAGCTTGATTATTCTGCTTCATATTGCACTACATATTCCTAACAGAAATGCAAATCATCCCAAACTAAATCACATTAAAAAGACTGAGGCCAGGTGGAGTTTCCGGATTAGAGTACTGTTGATCTGGGTGTTGATTAAACTGTCATGAGTTATTAATAGGAACTTGGCGACAGGTCAATAAAGTATTACATTTGTATGTCTACGACACAAGCTATCACTTACTTTAACAGCCAGTATCATTGTGTCTGTCTTCTGTGTAACATGATATCTGGTTTTGTGAGTGGTGTTTGGTGAAAAATAAAATGATTCCCCTTGGTCATTACTTGGCACACAGAGGTTAAATACACAAAAGGTACCAGAATAATAAAATAGCCAGACATGTAGCTAGGTTGTAATTTATTTAACAGACACTCATTCGTCGATTGGCAAATTTTCTCTGAGTTAAAACAAGTGATACTGGTTCAGCAACATGGACATTTAGCTTAATTAGCTATCAGGGATTATGGAGGAACCGGTATCTGTAATGTATTTGAATAGCCTATATAAGAAGAAGAATAAATAGCAAAACGACACAAAACTAACCTCTGACCAAGCAGACACACAGACATGTTGTGAGCAGCAGGAAAGCAGTCCGCATCGTGTCTGGAAAATGATTAAAAACCGAAAACAAGTGTGTTTATTCTGTCTCCTTTCAGCTCTCGACTCTCTCCGTGTAGACAGATTGACAGGTTGGAGCTTTTGACTAATTCTGCTTCCGTGTACCAACCATAGCCTGTTCTTCTTCTGCAGGGGAAAATACAGCAGACTGCTCTACCGCCACCTAGAGGTAGAGTACTGACACTACAGGGCTGTGTTTTCCAGCAAGGAAAGCTAGAATGCAATCAAAATACGCTTCTTTGTCCAGTATTATTTTCAGACTGTTATTTCTTAAGCTTTCTTGGCATGCATTCATACAGGATATGCAGTTGCTTTCTTAAGGCATGAGTTCATATTCGTTACTTCAATCGCCTATTTCTGTAAACAAGTGTTCTTGTTTGTGAAATAGATTGTACTTTTCTGCTTATTTTAACTGCTTTTTTATTTTAGGTCAAATTTACCAACCTGCATTTCAAATTAACAAGTTACATTTTGAAGTCTCGTTAATGTTCAAATGCCATGTTATCAATCACAATCTTGATACATTCAAATGTAGTTGTTTGATGCTAATGGTAAGAACCAGCCTGTTCTTCTTCTGCAGGGGAAAATACAGCAGACTGCTCTACCGCCACCTACAGGTAGAGTACTGGCACTACAGGGCTGTGTTTTCCAGCAAGGAAAGCTAGAATCCAATCAAAACACGCTTCTTCGTCCAGTATTACTTTCAGACTTTATTCTTAATTGTTACCATATTGGCACTTTACACAACACACAGGGACTATCAGCTTTCTTGGCATGCATTCATACAGGATATACAGTTGCTTGCTTAAGGCAGGACTGTCTATTCTTAATCCCCTCTTTCTGTAAACAAGTGTGACGTGTCATTGAGAACAAAGTGATGAATACGTAAAACTCTGTGAAAATGAAACGTCTCCCACAGTATAAGGACATTTTAAATGTGGTTTATTTGTGAAACGGATTGTATTTTTGTACTTATTTTTTTAACTGATTTCAATTGACATGCATTTACATCTAACAAATGCAAGTTATATTTTTGAAGAGACCTTCATGTTCAAATGGCAATATTCAATGTTATGTATCACTTTCATGAGACATTCAAGTGTTGGAAGAAGTACCTTTACCTAGTGTAAAAAGTAAAAGTACTCATTATGCATAATGGCCCATCTAAGAATAATACTAAGAACAGCAGTATTGTATTGTTTAGGTTATTTTGTTGTCCTGTTTTTAAACATGTTAGAGCATTTAGGTATTGTAGTTTGTCCATGTGGACCGAATTTACATACTAGAAATACTGTACTGTGCAAATGAGTAGTACTGTACTGCATTATACCATATCAGCATATTGTGTTTTTATATGCAGGAAGTAGGCTAACTGTGAGTGTTAAATAAATGTTGTGGAGTAGAAGTATAGAGTAGTAAATAATACATGGAAATACAAATATGTAAAAAAAAAAAAAGGACTTAAGTACAATACTTGAGTGTATGTACTGAGTTACTTTCCATCACTGGGAGCTCACATCATAATCTGGAAAATTCCATCTGAATTCACCCTACAGACAAATGCTCCAATCAGGTTGAACCAAGGAAACCTGAAACTCTGGATCCACCGGTTCAGCAACAACAGATTGCCTCTCCTGATTCCTTTTGAACAACCTTCAGATTATTCCACTAGGTCAAAAGGTTCAGTCTACAAGTAATGGGGTTACAGCTACATCTTTTCATGCCTTGTGACCAATTTTTATTTTATTTGAACCAACTGAAAACACATATCCACCATAAATCCACCAAGGGCCTGATTTGGCCCCCGGGCCTTGAGTTTGACACATGTGACTTAATGGCTGCATTATTTAGGTTTATTCTAATAGCACCAAAACACCACAAAAGAACAAGTACCTATTCCTAGTTATAAAAGCAGCAATAATTCAACTGATTACAAGGAATTTGTTAAGAGATGTTAATGTAATGAAGTCGAACTGTAAGGATATAGTAAATGAAATTGGAAGTGGATATATGGCTTAGAAAAACATACATTAGAAATCTGGTATATATATTTGATAAAAGAGGAAAAATGACGGGGTATACAGCCCACAACATTACTCATGATTCTCCGTTTAGATATGGCAATTACTGATCCAAATATATATTGATATAATAATGGTAGTAGTTTTTTTGTTGTGTATGCCCGGTGACAATATCCAAATCCCGATATATCACTGTAAGATGGCTGATATTTTCCTATTGTATTTTACAACCTATTGTGCTGAGTTGACCTGAAGTCATACAGGTAAAGCGAGCACTAATACAGAAATGATTCACTAATGCTCCACCACAGGATACATGGAGGAGATAACATTTGTGTGATTATTGCCACCTCCAGGTTTGTTGCTGATATGATTTTATTTTACTGGTGGTGTCAGTGTTTGACCTGATCAGCAGATGGCAGTATTGATATTCAGTGCAATTGAAGAAAACCTGACAAAAGCACATCTTGACACCAGACTACTTTATGTGCATGTGATTGTGAGGGGTTTGCAAGAACTATAATCAACCTATTGTACAATTATACAACACGTTTAAGCATATACAATTGCATTTCTTCTCGAGGAAAAAAACACCATTTCCTATTAACATAAAGTCACTCAACTTTACAGACAGGCACCATGAGAATAATGTAAAAATATAATATGGATTACAATTGATGGTATGCTTTAGGGACGAGATAATGATCAACATGTTAATTGCAGGTGTTTTACATCTCAGCTGGGCGTGGAGGACCTGTGGGTTCTTGTAATGAATATGTCTTAATTGTGGCAGGCTGCTTGACATTTGAAAAGTCCGATGATCCCTCTCATTCTTGACACCTATTTGCATTTCCATCTTTAAGGTCAAATGGGTATGAATAATACATTAAGGAGGTTCTTAAGCTCACAGCCAGCTATACCTATCTCCACAAAGGCACCAGCTGAGTGTTGCTAAGCTCAGTGAATGCTACAGAAACAATCAATTAATACCACTTTGGGAAACCACATGTGAAGCAATCAAGGCATCCTGGCATTAATGGGAATATAAGGTCATGATTCAATGGAAGCTATAGGAACAGTCTTTTCTGATTAGTTGTATGAAGTGTATCCCTCTCAGCTAGTTTTTATTGTGTGAATCAGACTAAACGGGGCAATCGAGTGTGTGTTTCTGGGTTTTCATTATCAAAAGTGTTTAAAGCATTTTGTAGATTTTTCTCAAATGAAAGTTCTCTGTGCAATATTACTACGCATGTGAACTATCAAAGGGTTAACCTGGAATAAATTCAAGATCAAAGGAAGGCCCAAAAAAAGAACCTTGGCAGGAGATTGGAAGAATTTAATGAGCAAAAATTAACATGTATTAAATCTGACCTCGTGCTTACATGGCAGATGTTGAGTGGAGCAGCAACCAGATACCTGAGATAAATAGTGGCGTGTTACATTTTGAGAGGAGCCTGGGAACTGCCTATGCTTTCAACAAAACATATATTGCATTTCAAATTGTGCTAAGATCATCATGTTTTAACAAATGTCATGATATTTATTTCAATAAAGAAGATTTTAAGGGGAGGGAATTGTATTAAATTGAGAAAAGATCCCTCGTATATCCAGCACATTTGAAGTCATTCACTTGGGGGCTGAGTTTCATAATAAGGCTACTGTCTTAGGGGAATAGCATGGGATATAGTATAGCCTTGAGGAGACAGATTTGCTGGCTGTTTTGACAACTCATTACCTGTAATTTCAGTGACGGATCGGTGGAGTGGCTCAGACTAGGCATCCGTGGCACCAGAGAAGCTGTGTGGTTTGTGCCTGGAATGATGTAAGATACAACGGCAAATAAGCAAAGATTTATTATGGCTAATGATTGCTTAAAAACAGAGCCGTGGAGACTTGACAGTTTGGTGCCACTTTACCGAGAGTGGTGGAGTTGGGGCAGAAACGGAAACACATCCTTATTTCACCTTTCTGTACTTCCAGAAGAGTGTTTATTAGAGAGATAACTCTGTCTAATGACACTCACGATTCATTCTGACACACAATGTAACAGTACATTGATTATAAATACTATCTAATAAATGAATATCAGTAAAATACTTCATTTTATTTGTCAATATTAAGATAATAACTGTGGCATTTAAGTTTATTAATGAACCCAGAGTGCTCTTTTGGTTTTACAGTTTGCCTCATAGTGCTGTCTACTATCTGGAAATGCATTGTTAAAAAGTAAAGTTTCCCCTGTAGATCTCGCTGTGCGTAAGACCCTGGTTAAGTTTCTAAGTTTGTAGAAAAGGAAAGGTGCGGGGGGGTTGTATCAGTTGGGCTTGTCCCCCCCCCCCCACGCTCTGCCATAATTGGTCCATCCCTGGCACAACTCCTCATCTCTAAAGCCACCAAAAACTGTAACCTACCTTGTGTATTTTTCCCTAATTGAATCGCCTAATGAGGTCCCCAGGGCTCCATGCCATTACCTCTGAGTTAATTAAAGCCTAAGCAGTGTGCCAAACGGTGAATAAAGATGCCGTGAAAGTGCAAGAGGGTTCTCTGGGATGGGATGGGGCTGACCTGCTTTTCTGTCATTGTTGTGGGACGTTATATTCCAAGGAGCAGATGTCTATTCTTTTTTTATTTGTGTTTATTTTAGGCTTCACATTTTGTTACCCTGGTTCAAGCACTTATTTTCCAGTGTGGTTAGCCTAATTCTGCTTTATTAAACATTCAACTCACTGCCACCATCAGCAAGGATTTTATGAAGATTTACAACTAAAGCAGAACGCAGGAGACTAAAACATGGCAGGTGTGTTATGGATTTCTATTCAATTAGGCGTGGCTGTAATACAATTATACTGCTCATTAAATGTACATTTGTAACACCTACAAAAAGCAGTTATCGACTTGTTATGCACTGTGGTCACTCGTGTGGGAATATTAATCCAAACCACATAACCTTGTTAAAGAAAACTCTTTATTAAATGACAAAAACACGGGCTGATAGAACGTGAAAAGACAAAAAGAGACATTTCATTTAAGAAACAATTTCAAATGTTTATTTAACATGTCAAAGAAGGGGCACACACTCGTGAATTGAAAA